CCAATAAATAAGAAAACCTGAATCCCTGAATTGTTTGTTGATACTTGGAGCAAGAGTCAGCTCTGTAGGAGCTGGAAATAAAGGGGTTCTAGACCCTTGAAAAATTGTTCTGTGGCTAGTACAGAGGGGACCGACCCCTAGACAACGTACGTCACGTCACAAGCGTTACATAACCCGAGTAGGTTGTCGCTATTCGGCATCATTTTGCAGAACCACTCTTTCGACAGCTGGCACACATCGGCCTTTTTTGCATTTTTCTACAGGCCTTGTAACATCACCGATGGGAACATTTTTGGTTCTGAAATGGAACACTTTCCATTTTGATGATTTCACCAACAAAAATTTAAGATTCCCCATTAGTGCTTAGACCGCAACCCCCCCCCCCTCTTTTTTTTTCCCAACCACCACCTAATGCCGCACCCGCTTCTAAACCAAAGATTTTTTAGACCAACTTTTTCCGTAAAATAAAAGAAAATATTACGTACCAAACGCAAGCGCGGTATTTTTTATTTAATAATCTCATTCAGCGCAGTTATCGGAGACTTTACGTAATGACGTCAGCGCCACCTAGTAGAGTTGGTGGCATTGCTACGTAGAGAATTATGTATTTTAATGATGTATGACGAGAGTTACTTTTCGTTTCCACAGCTGGTTCAAAGAACGTGTGATCCCCTCATTGTAATTTCTAAGTCATTCTCTTCAGTTCCCTCCACAGTTCGCCCCTGTGAACAATGAATTTGGTGGCACTTTATCAGTGGAACTTTGTCAACGAGAAATTGAGATTCGGTGCCTTTTCATGAACCTTGGTCGTTGTGTTCGTCTTTTGACATCAATAAGCATGCATCCAAATAGTATTTTGAGGAAATGATCCAAACAAAGCGTGGGGAAACCTGAAAACAACGGGCGTATCGAAAAGAAGCCTTCACCGGCGAACCAATAACGGTAAAAACAAAATTAATTTTAAAAAAAAAATAGCACTTAGCTGTAATGAAGTATCCGAGAGGACAGCAAGAGTCAAGCGTTTTGAGCGAGCCGTGAGCCGTATACAACGATGACCAGCCCCTGCTCCTCAACCCCACCCCCTGAAAATGACAGTCCTGGAAAAATCACTGTTCTTAAAAAACACAATGTCTAGTGATGCCACTGCCTATATACTACATCATTTATTGAGGAAACGTAAAACAAAAAAGAGTGGGGTGGGGGGTGGGGGAATCTTCTGGCTGAGCCCAGGTCGCAGCTTTCTCCTCGCATGGCCCTTCACACTACATTGTAACATTTAATACAGCCACTAGACGGTCAAAAAATAGCAGACTAGATCATGTAAGCTACACTATTTTGATAACATGTTGGTTATTGTAACATTGTGTACAGACCCCAAATGTCCACGACTAACGCCATGCAATGTCCTTGATGATCCCATTGGAAACAGTGCCGGTGGGATTTGTTGGCTTTACTTTGGAAGCCATCAATCAAAGATTATTTTTTTAAAATCTGACGGTGATATCTAATTTAAGAGCCTGGAAATTAAAATATGTGCTTAGTTACCGTGGGAAAAAAACTTGTGGGATGAGGAGACCCTGAAACTATGTGGGATGAACGCTGACAAGTTACAGTACTCCGCCACGTCCCACTTCTCTTAGTCCATCTGCCAGTGGCAGTTATCACAGCACACGTCAGCGTTAAAGAACGTTGGTGCTGATGGACAAGAGTGATGGCAGTGCTCGCAGAACTATGTTTATCTTCTGCTTCTCTCATTTAAACGTGGTTTGGGGGGGGGGCGATGGAGAGAAGAGAAACCCGCTGTCTATTTATTGTTGTATGTACAAGAATGTCAATTTCTCTATCTAGTATAAAGTACAAGAATGTCAATTTCTCTCTCTATTATAAACTACAAGCATGTCAATTTCTCTGTCTAGTATAAATTACAAGAATGTCAATTTCTCTGTCTAGTGTAAAGTACAAGCATGCCAATTTCTCTGTCTAGTATAAACTACAAGCATGTCAATTTCTCTGTCTAGTATAAAGTACAAGCATGTCAATTTCTTTGTCTAGTATAAAGTACAAGAATGTCTGCTTATCCATCTGGTGTAAATGAACAAGAATGTTTACTTCACTGTCTGGTGTAAATGTACAAGAATGTATACTTCACTGTCTGGTGTAAATGTACAAAAATGTTTACTTCACTGTCTGGTGTAAATGTACAAAAATGTTTACTTCATTGTCTGGTGTAAATGAACAAGAATTTCTACCTCACTGTGTGGTGTGAACAAACAAGAATGTCTACTTATATATCCGGTGTAAATGGACATGAATGTCTACTTCTCTGTCTGGTGGATATGTACACGAATGTCTACTTCTCTGTCTGATGTAAAATATCACCCGCTAAGGAGAACTGACAGGTTTGTTGTTTGCCTCTTAGTGCCAGCATGACCCAGACAGGGGCAGTCACTCCATAGTTAGCAATCTGTATCCCATCTGTCAGCTTCGTAATATCGGTGAAAGATTAGAGGCAAGGTGGTTTTCAAATTATTAAGTGATGCCGACTTACTGAAAAAAAAAAAAGAATGTGCATGGCGAATCTGCTCAACACAGGAGCGAACGCCAGCGATAGCCTCAATGAGACACTCCACTACTCCCTGTCTTCCATTGTTGTACTTGACCGATGGATTCTTTCAGTCCAAACGTTATTTTTCATGATCTTGTATTGTTATTCAAGCTGTCTTATTTCGTATTCTTTCTACACAGCAGAACGTCGATATCCGAACGTTTAACTAATCAGAAACCGCCGGTTATCCGAATTGATCTTCCTTTAAAAAAAAATGAAATATAATATATATATATATGTATCCCCTAGGCAATCTGTATGGTATGGCATGGAGCATTGGCGTCAAAACTCCGGAGAAGTACCCCTTCTTCTCTCGCACAATACAGGTCATAAATATCACATTTGGACAGAGGCGTAGCGAGGGTGTTTGGCACCCGGGGACAAGATTCGCGCCCGGGGACAAGATCCATTTTTAGCGCCCCTTTTTCTTTTTTTCAACTCTCAAACCCATTATTTTCATCAATAAAATAATATCAAAGCACATTTTGGCGCCCCTAACTAGATGGCGCCCGGGGACATCTGTCCCCCCTGCCCCCCACCACGTTACGCCTCTGCATTTGGATCAACAACAAATTATGATTACCGAGCACGTAATGTGTATAATGCAAACAGATTAGTGTGTTGTCTTCGCTTTTATTAAGGGTCGTGGGATACTTTCCCATTTTTTGTAAAACAGAGTAGCTTGCCCGTGGTTGCCGCCTACTTTTACCCCTTTGGGTTGGTTCTAAAAAAAATCATGTTTGTTGTTTTCTAATCTCGACTCCAGTAAGTTAAGTAGGGTGAATTGAAAGAGACCCAATAATATAGTTCGGAAAAAAAAAATGAAATGTGTACTTTTATACTCTCAATAATTTCTTTCCTCTCAATTCGCGGGCATAACGTCGTCCGATCCATGTTTACTAAGTCAAACCATGACAACCACAAATGATATGAAAGCGGAAATGATATATACCAACCCATTATGCTCTTTTCCATATATTTTCCTGTGTGATCTTACCCCATTGTAATGTGATGTGTCTTGTCTCAGGGTCTGTTGTATCGTGTCGCTAAGTTTAGAGTCCGACACAGAACAAACTCTTTTTTTTCTTCCTTTTAACAAGACACTGATAACTTGCGTACCTACGTCAAAAATTTGGTCCAAGTCTTAATCTCTAAGGACAAAATAATTTAAACGTTTCTGCAAACGCCTAAGTCAGTAAAAACAAATCGAAAAATAAAAATTCTATAACTTTAAATTACATTTTCCCGTATCATACCGTTGTAAAGCGGTTACCGGAAATTTGTTTGAAAAAAAAAAATGTTCGACGGAAAATTGTTCGACGGAAATTTGATCGTTTGATCTAACCGAAGTTTTGTCGATTTTTTTTTCCAGTTCACACGATCAAATTTTCGATTAATTTCTTTTTGAACGCACTATACAGAAATATATTCCGAAAGAAAATTTGAGGCGAAATTTTAACGCGTGAACTAAAAAAAAGATTCGACCAAACTTCCGTTCGAAAAAATTTTCCGTCGATCAATTTTCCGTCGACGAACTTTCGTTCAAACAAATGTACGGATACAGTATTGAGCAAATGAGGGGGGGTGGGGAGATAGAAAATAAGAGTTAGCAGAAGTCTCTTACAATAACGTAGATTAGAGGAAAGGATTATCTTAATAGATCTTCTTTAGCTAAGATGTCTCAAAAACAATTTAAAAAAAAAAAAACAACAAGCAAAAAAGAAATTAACTGTAAACAGGGGGGGTGGGGAGATAGAAAATAAGAGTTAGCAGAAGTCTCTTACAATATCGTAGATTAGAGGAAAGGATTATCTTAATAGATCTTCTTTAGCTAAGATGTCTCAAAAACAATTTAAAAAAAAAAAAGCCTCAAGCAAAAAGTGATTTAACTGTAAACGTTCGGGCTATTAACTGTGAATGCATCGATCCGTAATATGGTCATGTCATACTTAAGTTCTATGCAGAGGGCGCATCGATGTGACGAATGGTTACCTCAGTTATCAAGGTTGCTACGACACTGAGTGGCAAAAGTGAAAGAACAGCACATGTCACATGACTATCCCTCCCTCCCCCCCCCCCAGCAGCATGACCCCAAAAAAAGCTAAACATCACGTGAATTAATGCGCCGTTCAAAGAGCCACATTTGTAACAGGGTAATATTAGAGTAACATTACGGTAACACCTATTTCTGTTGCACCGAGAGGGCGCGTCCGGTAACTCCGGAAAGGTTAAAGCAATAGCTTTCCCGGTGTCAAATTGTTCACACTTATCTTTTCACGGCAACGCTCACTGGCCGTCTCTTGTGACCCCTGACCCCTGACCCCCTTTGTGTTGTCTGCCGTCTCATCTCTCTTCCCCCCCCCCCTTTTTCCTAACTCGATATAACAGGTTGAACTAAGCAGAGCCAACTACTTATATTTCGTAGGACTAAGACTGCAGTGAGTACTGTCCTTGATAATTTTTTAAGACTATAATGAGTAGGGCTCCTATGACTTTGTTGAAATAAAGTAAGTACTGCTTTTATAAATTTTTTGAACCAAATGGAGTACTGCTCCTATGACTTTTTGGACTAAAGTGAGTGCGGCTCCTATGAATTTTTGGAATAAAGTAAGTACTGATCTTATGACTTTTTGAACTAAAGTGAGTACTGCTCCTATGACTTTTTTGACTAAAGTGAGTACTGCTCCTATGACTTTTTTTTACTAAAGCGAGCACTGCTCCTATGACTCTTTTGGACTAACGTAAGTATTTCTCCTATGAATTTGTGGACTAAATTGAGGACTGCTTCTATAACTTTGATGAACTAAAGTAAGTACTGCTCCTATAACTTTTAAAGTGAGAACTGCTCCTATGATTTTTTGGACTAAAGTGAGTACTGCTCTTATGACTTTGTTGGACTAAAGTCGACACGCGGCTCATTGAATGAATGAATGCGTCTGTTTTTAATACATTTCCATACCATAAAAAGGTGGAAAAAGTAATATTTTAACAGTTCAGTTTAACATTGTCCTATGGAGATTTCATCCCCAATGAGGTGTTCAACCGCAAAGTATCCCCCCTCTCCCCCAAAACACACCCACAATCCATTTCTTACATTTTATTCCAGAGTTTCGTGTCGCAATTAATTGTTGGCTACTGAAACAAGGTTATAATTTTTTTTTTGGTTAAATATTTCGTAAATTCCCTTTTTTATATTACTGAATTAACTATCTATAGTTCTTTCAATCTGTTTTTTTGTTTGACCATTCCATTTAATCAAGCTTGAAATTCATTCGTTATAGTTATTGGTGAATCCCGTAAAAACTTATTTTCACCACTAAGTCCACTGTTTTGCAAACACCTTTTTTCACCCACTTGCTCTATACCGGTTTAATGTCACACCTGTATTGTGCAACATTTCCCGAGCCCCCTTAACAAATTTTTAATACAATTTCTTCCAGAGTTAATTCCCCACCACCCCCTTTTTTTAATTTTTTTAATCACCAAATGTCCCCCTCTTCTCATTGTTTGTATAAGGGGGGGGGGAGGAGGAGTTGTGGGTGGCGTACGCCCGTCGTTGGGAAATGAAGGGGGCGGTAAATAATTATGTGAACAGTTTTATTAGAAAAGACATACCCCCCACTCCCCAATTTTTCAGGGCCAAGACCTGTCAAACATTCAAGGAAACCTTTAAAAAATAATTTCAAAACCAAATTTGAACAATGATTATTGAACAATGTTTTTCAATTCTTAAATATAGTATACTGATGTAGCAACACATTTTATAAATTATTTTTTTTTTAAAATTGGAAACAAAACGTCATTTAATTATGTTATCTTTGCCACATTAGAATCTTCTACTAGCGCCAATTTTATATTGTAGAATTAACAAAGAATTGATGATTTAAAAAAAATGCCGTTGCCATTAAATGTAATTTTCAGTTTCTTCTTTAAATCTTTTTTTCGATAAGTAAAGTGATCCTTTTTTTAAAAAAATAGTACGTAGCTGCTGATTTATTGGTGAGCGTAAAAAAATCACAGGAAAAAAAGTCACAAAATTTGCTAGGAAAAAAGTCACAGGAAAAAAAAATCACGGAAAATAGTCACAAATTTTGCTCGGAAAAAAAGTCACAGGAAAAAAAGTCACAGGAAATAAAGTCACAGGAAAAAAGTCACAGAAGCATTCAGCCATCAGATGTCATAAATAAATTTTGACAAGATTTGTGGTATCCCGTTTCCTAATGGCATCCCATAGCCCATCGGGATCCCGGCCCCACTGGGATCCTGACCCCATTGGGTTACCGATCACGATGGGATCCCATTTGGGATCCTCATCCCGATTGGGATCCCGATTCCAAATGGGATCCCAATGGGGATTCTGACCACATTGGGATACCGACCCCATGGGGATCTCAATCCCGATTGTGATCCCGACCCCATTGGGATACGATTTTGATTGGGATCCCTTTCCCTAAAACGATCCCAATTGGGATCCTGACCCATTGCGATTCCGATCTTTTTTGGATCACAGCCCCAATTGATCCCGATTGGGATCCCTTTCTCAAAAAGAATGTCATTGATATCCCGACCCCATTGGGATCCCTATTCTAAATGGCATCACATATCTTAATGGGATTCCAACCCCTGTGGGATATGGAACTAATTGAGATCCCAATGGTATCCCATTTCCAAGTAGGATACCACTTTCCAAATTTTACCCTTTTTCAGGTGGGATCGCGATCCGTTAGGATTCCGTTTCCCGTTGGGCTCTTCTCCAATGGGATCCCGTTTGCCACAGGATCCCTATTTGATCCCGTCACCAAGTTTGGTCAAGATCCATCTATTGTATTTGTTGCTAATTTTATTTATATAGTTCCTATAAGGGAAAAAAAAAACCAATTCGGGACTCCCGGCTCCAAAAGGAAATTTATAAAAAGTTCATAATCCCCTAATAATTGATTCTGGATAATGATGGATATATGTGCCATCCATCACCCATCCACCCACTATATATCATCCATCCATCATCCATCCATCCATCCATCCATCCATCCACCCACCCCATCCCCCACCAATCCACCCACCCACCTCCTATCTATCATTGATTTTCTTAAATGGTAAAATAAGAATATAACATCAATCTATCTATGAATCAATCATTGATTTTCCTAATTGGTAAAATGTCAATATAGCATCAATATACCTATCAAATCAATCAATCATTGATTTTCTTAATTGGTAAAATGAGAATATAGCATCTAATTTTCACAACTTTAATACCATTGGATTTAAAGATAGTGTCATCCACATAAAAATCTACACACCCTATTTCTTACCCCCGATATATATATATATATTGTGGAGAGTTCGGATCATGACGGTGACCGGCCGTCTGACAGGTACAGCTGGCGAGTGTGGAGGGTTCGGATCACGACGGCGACCGGCCGTCTGACAGGTACAGCCGGCGCCAGCTGACCAGAGATCACGATCGACGGATCAAGCCATCTGACCAGGGCATTTACCTGGGACGTCTGGTCTGTTTGTAACCTGTCGCCAATTGAGAAAAAGGGGCGGGGTATAATGCGCCAGTCCAGACCTGGGAGAGGAACTATGGGACAGGGAGGTATAAATAGGGATCTCTGGACGGGACGAGGGAGACGGCGGCCGGACTGAGAACTAGATAGCAGGGAGAAGTCAGAGTTGTGAGATGAGAGAAAGAGTAAGCAAGGTGACAGCCCAATAAAGAACACGAGTTTAATCATCAAATGTTATCACCGGAGTTGTTTCCTTATTGAGTACCAGATCTAGATGAAGTTTATCAGAGAGTAAGCAAGATTTCCTTACAATGGTGGCAGCGGTGGGATTCTTAACCTTGCAACGACTCCGAGGAGACATACATTTTCGTTAGCCTGACTAGATGAAAAGTACAAGGCGCGGAAAATTGACAGCAAGTACAATGTCTTCACAGCACTTACACAACATCCCAACGTACAGTGGAGCCTCTACATGGCACACTTTTATCGTGCAGTTTGAGACCTCTGCAAAAATTTTCAAGTGGAGTGATGACGATAAACTCCTCTATCTCTGCTTTTCACTGAAGGATGCAGCTGCGGAATTCGCGTACAGCGAATTAAGCGAAGCTGAGAGGGACAGCTAACGAGAAACTCAAGGATGCCCTGGCTAATCGGTTTAAGGACCATCGAACACCTGCATTCTTTCAAAATATTTTAGAAAAACGCACGTTTTTGAAATCGGAGACCACAGCCGAGTACGCTACAGACCTCAAGAGATTGGTTGCAAAAAGCTTCCCAATGGCAGACCAGGCTACAAAAGATGCCATTGGTTTTAAACAGTTCTTACGTGGGCTGCCTGACCAGTCTATGGTGACACAAGTTGGCACTATGGCTGTTCCTCCCACCGTGGACAAGGCGAGAGCTGCCTTGGATACAATCTTAAATCTGAGGGACAACGTTTGTTTACCAACACAGCAAGTAGCATCAATGGCTACCGACAATTTGGCCAGAGAGGTTAGCGGCCTGAGAGAGGACCTCAGGGAATTCATGGCCTCACAGCGAGGGGCAGTTACCCATTCGGCACGTGAAACGGGAGGTAATCGGAGGGCGGAACTCAGATGCTTTGGGTGTGATCGAATCGGTCATATCTCACGTAATTGCCCAAACAAACGACCAGAAGGAAGAAACCCTCGTCGTTTAAACTAATTCGGGCCGCCTCTAGGAAACACAGCAAACCAGAAAGACAACGATCTATAAGCGCTGTGTATGTGACAATTAACGTTTGTAATGAGGAAACTCAGTTTTTATTAGACACTGGGGCGGCCGTGACAATTTTGTCCGAGAGAATTTTCAATAGAATGCAGCATAGACCAACGTTGAATAGCCACCTCGTCCCATTACATCTACAGTCAGCCAGTGGTACGTCTATAAAACTCCATGGAGTCTGCGACCTCGACTTGCTTATTGGAGAGAAGGTTTATCCATGGACGGTGCATATCGCAGACATAACCGACGATGGTTATCTAGGATTCGATTTCCTATGTCACTATGACTTTTCATTTTCAATTAAAAAGGGGCTAAACAATGAGGAAGAGAGAGAAAAATTGTGGTGTTCGTTGGAGCGGAATAGGAAAATATTTTCAACCTCATCGCTGGACGTGGGAAGGACCTCTATTATAAAACATGAGATACCGACCGGGGATGCAAGACCTATTAAAATTCCCCCACGGAGACCTCCGCGGGCGTTTGAGGACGAAGTCGATGACGTCATCACCTCTCAGCTGGAGGCCGGCATTATCAGAGAGTCAAGGTCACCGTGGTCTGCACCGTTGCACTTTGTTAGAAAGAAAAACAATGAGGTACGTGTTGTGTGCGATTATCGGGAACTAAATAAAGTGACACAGAAGGATAGTTTTCCACTTCCCCGATGTAACGAACTCATAGAGGTGATGGCTGGTGCAAAATATTTTTGTTCCTTAGATTTGCAGTCAGCTTATTATCAGATAGAAGTTGAGGAACAGGATAAAGCAAAAACGGCATTTTCCACGTTGAATGGCCACTACGAGTACAACGTCACACCCATGGGTTTGACAGGGGCACCAGCCACCTTTCAACGATGCATGGAAACTGTTTTTAAGGGCCTAAATTATAAAACTTTAGTGGTGTTCATTGATGACATATGTATATTTGGCGAGACTTTCCAACAGTGCTTAGATCGATTCGTGGAGGCTATTAATAGATTGAGGCAGGCAGCACTCAAACTTAAACCGGAAAAATGTGTTTTATTTAAATTAGAGGTCCGATTCTTAGGTTATGTAGTGTCAGGAGAAGGAGTGAAGACTGACCCCGAGAAAGTTGAAACAATCAATAATTTTCCAAGGCCACAAAACGTATCTTCTTTGAGGAGTTTTCTTGGAATGGCGTCTTACTACAGACGATGGATAAAGGGGCACTCGACCATAGCTGCACCCCTTAATCGGTTGTTAGAAGGAAAGAACACCAAGATTTTGGAGTGGAATGATGAGTGTGAAGTTGCATTTTCTCAGTTAAAGCAATGTTTGGTGTCATCTGAAGTGATGGCCCAGCCACAACACGACGGTGGTAGTTTTATCCTCGACTGCGACGCACGTGCCACAGCTATAGGGTGTACTCTGTCACAGATGCAGTGGTCGGAGCGAGATCAACGACTGATGGAGAGACCTATATATCACGCCAGCAAGTCTTTAAATCGAGCTGAACGACGTTATTGTGTAACCCGACGTGAACTCCTGGCGGTCGTCACCTTTGCTAATCAATTTCGCCATTTTCTTCTGGGTCGAAAGTTCATGGTGAGGACAGATCATAGCTCCCTTAGGTGGTTGTTATCTTTTCGTAACCCCACAGACCAAATAGCAAGATGGATAGAACTTTTGTCACAATTTGATTTTGACATCGAACACCGGAGTGGCAACAAGCATACCAACGCAGATTTTTTATCGAGAAGTGAGCCAGAAGGTTGTCTGTTTTATAACAAGGACAAAATGCTGCAGGATCTTCCCTGTAACGGTTGCAACTTGTGCACCAGGAGGTTCCGACAATGGTCACAATTTTATCAGGAAGAAGACATCATTCCATTATCCACCACTAGTAACCAGTTGCCAGCAGCAGCTGTTATGAAAATCAACATGGTGACGACTCGCAGTAAAACGTATCCTCCCGTGAACCCACTTAAACCCCCGCCCGGAGGAGCAACCACAAGTGATACTGGTCGAGCAAACTGCCCTGTGGACACGCCCCTCGTACCAAGCCAACCTATCCAATTACCTTGCCCTGAGTCGACATCAAACAGAAATGATCGGAATGCTGACCGAGAGCCGGTTGCAGTGTTATGTGCAGACAATAGTGACTATAAATTCTGTGAAGGGTTAGACATATCCAAGGAAGATCTGAGAAAATTACAACAGGAAGATAATGACTTGAGTCATGTTTTTAAGTGGATCAAAGACAAAACAAAACCAAAAAGAGAGGAAATTAGTGGAGAATCGCCGGCTGTTAGGAACCTTTGGTTAAACCTTGATTTACTTATTGTTGTGGATGGAGTTTTATGTAAACGATGGTTTCATCCGGGTCGGAAGGATGAAATATTGAAAATTATGTTGCCTAGATCTCTTGTAAGCACAGTGTTAAAGAAAATGCACTCGTCAGTTTATGCTGGTCATCTCGGCATAAATAAGGTATTGGATAATGTCAGGACATACTACAGTTGGTACAGAATGAAAAGGGATGTTCAAACGTTCATCACCAACTGTGCCACATGTCAGCACATCAAACGCCCTCAAGCCAACAGTTCAGCCAGGTTACAGTCTTTTCTTACAGGATCACCACTACAAAGAGTGTGCACTGATTTTATTGGCCCTTTGCCTGTAACTAATTCTGGAAATAGATACATTCTTGTGGTAGTGGACGCGTTCACTAAATATACCCAGGCATACGCACTTCCAGACTGTTCAGCAGAAACTACGGCAGTTACCTTGGTTAACCAATTCTTCTCCATTTTTGGTTGCCCGTTAGAATTGCATTCGGATCAGGGATCCAACTATCAAAGTAGATTGTTTAGACGGGTGATGGAATTACTAGACATCAAGCAAACCAGAACATCATCCTTCCACCCAGCCAGTAACGGACAGGCCGAACGTTTTAACTCAGTGCTAATTAAGATGATATCTGCCTTCGTAAAGGACAATCAAAAGGACTGGGATGTCCACCTCCCACTGTTGACCAGTGCGTACAGAAACCATCAACACCCCAGCACTGGCTACAGCCCCAATTATTTAATGTTTGGTCGAGAGCTCTATCAACCCATTCACCTGGCAATGGGGGCTCCATTACCTGACAAATGTCTCGGTCAACCAGTACCGGAATACGTGTTGAAACTTGAACAAAGGTTAGACGATGTGTATGACACCGCCAGGAGACATCTGAAGACAGCAGCTCAGCGTCAGAAACGAGACCATGACACTCGGGCGGTACAACATACCTTCAACGTGGGGGACGTAGTTCTCTATTTGGATTTAACCAAACAGGTGGGTCGAAACCCAAAATTGAACCCAAATAAATGGCGCGGACCATTCGTTGTCAGTCGAAAATTTAGTGATGTGTTGTTTGAAATTCGAGGTGAGGGAAAGACGAAGGCAAGAATAATTCACCACGACCGATTGAAACCCTATTATGACAATAATCCACCAGACTGGATTTTAAAGCTACAAACAATTTGCCTGAGAGACAACTTCATAGGAGCCACCCCGGAGCTTCCACGAGTTCTGCAGGAAGCGTAGAGTGTTCGGGACACTTAGTTTCATTTTTTGGATGACATTTAAATAGAATAGATTTATAGTGAATTTATGTTGTATTATTCAATGTTCATTGTTAGTTGAATGGTGTTCGATCAAAATTGTCTGATTGTGGGAGTGTAAGAAGCGCTCTGACTGACACCAAACTGACCCTGATCTTGACTAGAATTGTTAGGAGACAGTGACTGAGGTGACCTTTAACTCAATCGTGTTATTCTAGGTACGCATATGATTGAGACGAAGGGAGGTGCACTAGAACCTCAATGTGATGACACACGTGCGTTACTGTGAGCTGTTTTTAAATGAAGGCTGAAGGTCCGAGGCACTTTAAGCCATTTAGAGACCAGTTATGTTACTGCAGCGAGGGTGTTAGGAATCTCGGGACGACATTGGTTTTGTAAGATGGGGGTAGTGTGGAGAGTTCGGATCACGACGGCGACCGGCCGTCTGACAGGTACAGCTGGCGAGTGTGGACCGTTCGGATCACGCCGGCGACCGGCCGTCTGACAGGTACAGCCGGCGCCAGCTGACCAGAGATCACGATCGACGGATCAAGCCATCTGACCAGGGCATTTACCTGGGACGTCTGGTCTGTTTGTAACCTGGCGCCAATTGAGAAAAAGGGGCGGGGTATAATGCGCCAATCCAGACCTGGGAGAGGAACTATGGGACAGGGAGGTATAAATAGGGATCTCTGGACGGAACGAGGGAGACGGCGGCCGGACTGAGAACTAGATAGCAGGGAGAAGTCAGAGTTGTGAGATGAGAGAAAGAGTAAGCAAGGTGACAGCCCAATAAAGAACACGAGTTTAATCATCAAATGTTATCACCGAAGATAAAATTTATGAGAGAGTAAGCAATTTTTACATAAAATATATATATATATATATATATATATATATATATATATATATATATATATATATGTACCCAAGAAGGTTATTATCATAAATATGAATTTAAAAAAACAAGTATTTAATCCCAAACGAAGATTAAAAAACCAACGATCAACTAAGCAGACGATAAGCTTGACTGCTATTTTCTGTTGGCTGTTTTTTCCAATAAATAAACACGTTGATGGACTTACAAATATCATTTCATTAACACTGACATTTAGGAGTTTATTTGAAATACATTTTGTGCCTTTTTTACTGTGACTTTTTTTTCCCTCACAATCCATTTATTTCCCAACTGGACTGCCAATGGTTTTTTCCACTGAAAGAAATACACGTGTGTTATATTGATTTACATGTGATGATAGGGTACTATTTTTAGAAGGTCAGCGGACAAATATTGCTTAAAACATGGCAGCTTATAGTGTGTTTCAGCATATCGTTCGGACGATCCTTGTATCTCGAGTTACTGTTGCATTTGCCGTTCAAGCATTTCAGAAAATAGAAGTAAAAAAAAATATGTAAAATATTTCGTAAAATAGAGTTGTAAACAAATTTCAAGGACACTTGGCTAACATAGTAATACCGAACAGTGTTGACATTTTGTCCGCGTTGAGTACCCGGATGATGAGTAATAATGACATCAGTTCTATTAATAGATTTCCGCCATTAAATGACAAGCCCTATTACCAGCAATCCATGTGTGTTGTGTTGATTTGAACTGCTGATTTTCCTATTGCCAGCAATACATGTGTGTTGTGTTGATTTTTACTGCTGAGTTTTCCTACTGCCAGCAATACATGTGTGTTGTATTGATTTAAACGTGTTGAGTTTCCTATGGCAAGCAATACATGTTTGTAATATTGATTTAAACTGCTGATTACTCCTAATGAAAACAATACAAGTGTGTTAAATTGAGTCAAACGTGATGATACCAAATATAAATTCAGAATCTGCACAACACGTCTTGTTATTAAGTTATGTATAGTAACAACTAACATTTAGATGCATTGTAAAAACTGTAAAATATTACATGTTTTTGTAATGATCTGAACGGTCTGATGCTAAAGTTAGGTCGCGAATATGTTCCCCATCAGTGGAGACTTCTCATAAACGCCAGCAAAGCGAGCATGGAGGCTGTTTTGTTGAACAGTGGTGACTAACATCCATTTTTCTCCTATTGTGCGTGCCTTTGACCTCAAAGAGACACGTGATTCATTGAAACTCATTTTGAAAGCGATTCAATGCTCAGAACACAACTGGAACAAGTGATCAGCTGCCCAGGACACAACTGGAACAAGTGATGAACTACTGAGAAGACAAGTGAAACAAGTGATCAACTACTCAGAACACAGCTGGAACAAGTGATCAACTGCTCAGAACGCAACTGGAACAAGTGATCAACTGCTCAGAACGCAACTGGAACAGGTGATTAACTGCTTAGAACACAACTGGAACAACTGATATGACCTGAAAATGGTAGCACTTCTTCGAGGACTACGGCCAGGGTATACACAAATTTGTTGTTTTTGTGTGTGTGTGTTGCTTGTTCAACTGTAGTGAGGACAGCAACCATAACAAATTCAAATAGTGGCACCTCCTAGAGTCTAATGTTCTTTGTTTGTTTTTTGTTGTTGTTGGTTTTGGCCCAGCGTGCAACAAGACTCCTTGGGTGATCCCTTGCAAGTGTACTTAACACCACGTCGCATGAAACTGCGCATAGTGAACGATTTTGTATTAGCAATAGACTGTAATAGGCAAGGCTTCCAGAACCCGAGGCGTAGCCGAAAGTTATAATTTTTATTGGGCCAGAAATCACCCGCGAAATGATGCGCGATTCTGCATTTAGAATCGAGCTGCACCCACTCAAACGTGACACATTGGGGTCCATGTACGTTAGTGCATTCACTCGAACGTGACACCTTGGTGTGCTTGTACGTTAGTGCATCCACTCGAACGTGACACCTTGGGGTACATGTACGTTAGTGCATCCACTCGAACGTGACACATTGGGGTGCATGTACGTTAGTGCATCCACTCGAACGTGACACATTGGGGTGCATGTACGTTAGTGCATGCACTCGAACGTGACACCTTGGGATGCGTGACCGTCATTGCATCAACTCTAACGTGACACCTTGGGTTGCATGTACGTTAGTACATCAACTCGAACGTGACACCTTGGGGTGCGTGTACGTTAGTGCATCCACTCGAACGTGACACCTTGGGGTGCGTGTACGTTAGTGCATCCACTCGAACGTGACACCTTGGGGTGCGTGTACCTTAGTGCATCCACTCGAACGTGACACCTTGGGTTGCATGTACGTTAGTACATCCACTTGAACTTGACACCTTGGGGTGCGTGTACGTTAGTGCATCCACTCGAACGTGATACCTTGGGGTGCGTGTACGTTAGTGCATCCACTCGAACGTGACACCTTGGGGTGCGTGTACGTTAGTGCATCCACTCGAAAGTGACACCTTGGGGTGCGTGTACGTTAGTGCATCCACTCGAACGTGACACCTTGGGGTGCATGTACGTTAGTGCATCCACTCGAACGTGACACATTGGGGTGCGTGTACATTAGTGCATCCACTCGAACGTGACACCTTGGGTTGCATGTACGTTAGTACATCAACTTGAACGTGACACCTTGGGGTGCGTGTACGTTAGTGCATCCACTCGAACGTGACACCTTGGGGTGCGTGTACGTTAGTGCATCCACTCGAACGTGACACCTTGGGGTGCGTGTACGTTAGTGCATCCACTCGAACGTGACACCTTGGGGTGCGTGTACGTTAGTGCATCCACTCGAACGTGACACCTTGGGGTGCATGTACGTTAGTGCATCCACTCGAACGTGACACCTTGGGGTGCATGTACGTTAGTGCATCCACTCGAACGTGACACATTGGGGTGCGTGACCGTCATTGCATCAACTCGAACGTGACACCTTGGGGTGCGTGTACCTTAGTGGTTCAAAACTTCCTTGTGCCATACCGAGCTCAGAATTATGATTTTTTTTGGGTTATTTTTGTTTTTTGTTTTGTTTGTTAAGACTTTCTACTGAGTTTTTTTTTTCACTGTCAGAAAACAAAGACAGTGTTTTTCATTGGAAAAGGGTTGGATGTTTATCATATCATATATATCATCGTTTATAATTTAAAAGTGAAAGTTTGCTTGTTCGTTTGTTTGTTTGAGGTGGTGTCTGTTTGTTCCACAAAGGTTTTTACATGGATTGATGGATCTTGACGAAACTTGGCACATACATCCATCATGATCCAGAAGGAACTCTTAAGGGGTTATGATTTTTTTATAACATTTCGTTAGGGGCCGGGGGCCCCAAATGTCGTTTTTTCCTATATGAGCTATATAAAATTAATTAGAAACAAATACTCCCACACATGGGCGCCCGCAGGTAGGGACAAGGTGGGGCACCCCCCCCCTGGATTGATTGGATAAAAAATTTTTTAGACAAAAGTAGACAAAAAAATTATTAAAGTCAAGAGAAAATAAAGAGAAAGTAACTAAGCCGATGTCCTATCCGTTCGTTCACCATACATATACGCTACAGTAAATTAAAACTATATTAAAACATTACTAAAATTTTTTTGCCCCCCCCCCCCCGGAGAAAGTTAATCGATTTTTTTTGCCCCCCCCCCCTTCCCTAGAAAGTTTTCTGCGGGCGCCCATGCTCCCCCACGAATTGATGGATCTTTACCAAACTTAGAACACATGCTCTTTGTTATTCATGCTCAAATACCGAAGGGTACTGAACTCATAATATCCATCCGTCTGGGGTCGGGGGCCCCATTTCTTTTTTTCTTATATTGACTATAAAAAAAATGATAGGCTTAATACTCCGACATGAATAGATGGATCTTGACCAAACTTATTACACATACACTTTATTATCCACATTCAAATACCGAAGGGTACTGAACTCATAATATTCATCTTTCTGGGACCAGGGGCCTCGTTTCATTTTTTCCTCCGTAAGCCATATAAATATCAATAGGCTTAGACAACACAATAGTTTCGTTGTGAATTGATGGATATTGACCTAGCGTTGTAGCAATACCCTTCATTGTCTGTATTGAAATATTGGTGGATTAAAGCTAAAAATATCCATTATAGAATTTTCCAGAAAATTCGATAATTTTAAAAAGCTTTATCAATGGCATTTGTAAGTAGATTTTAATGGGACCAATTTTCAATTTCAACTCTATTTTTGTATCCATCTGATATTTGTAGGGCCCCCCTATCTCAGGCATAACTAAATCTTTACAGTTATGGAATGGGCCCCCACTAACATCAATCCAACTAATTATCTATTATAGGGGCTAATTTTATAGGTTATATTAAAATAGGATTTTAAAAATAAAACTAATTATTGAATCCCCCTCCCCCCAAAAAACTATTCCCAATAAATATCAAACCTTTGCCATCCCTACCCTTAGTTTGTTCACGTTCAATGTAACATACAACCTTCAAAACTGCGCTCAAAACACATCTCTTTAATCTCTACTATCCTGACTGATTCCCACATCTAACCGAAAAACGATGGTACTGAGTGTCGTCCATGTCTTGAGATGTAAATAGTTTTAAATATACATTTGTTTTTTTTAAATTTAATTAATGTATGTTAATTAATTTTTTAAAGTTTCTAGATTATGTTTGTTAAATTGTATGTACAGCGTGGTGAGTCTAGCCCTTAGCTGGGGTACCATGCTATATACAACCACGTATAATAATAATAACAATAAAAATAATAATAATGGTAATTCAAACCACGAACATTAACTGACTCTGTATTTAAAAAAAACCCAAAAACAAACACTATCACAATACAATGCCACAGGTGTGTTGAACAGAGACAGCCATGTTGCCCCCGGGGCCGCGAGGTGGTTGGATCTTCGGATCATTATTTGACTACAAGGGCCCCAAAAGCAATCTGGAGTGGACCAAAGAGTACGGCGCAATCTACTTTGTGAAGATGGGCCCGAAGAACATGGTGTACCTCAACAGCATCGACCTGGTGAAGAAACACATGGAGGGGAAGAAAGGAGAGGTGTTTTTAAATCGTCCGGGTGGACCAGCTGCTATTGGTCAGGGTAAGGTGGATGTGTGTGTGACCATTTAGATCCACCGTGTGATTGGTCACGGTACCTTCAATTTGTGATTAGTAAAAGGTTTTTGTACAGATTCTGGCAATTATGATATTTGTTTCTCATTGAGATTGAATATTCATTGTCAAAAAGCATTTAAACTGCTGTTAAAACCTTATTCAATATGTAGTAAACTTTCATAAAGCAATTCCTTATCTATGGTATGGTAAATATATATACATATATATATATATATATATATATATATATATATATATATATATTTTTTTTTTTATCTCTCAAATATATATATATATATAATTTTCTCTCTCTATACATCTTTTTCTCATCTCTCTCTCTGTTTCTCTCTCTCTCTCACTCTCTCTCTCTCTCTCTCCTTNGTCAAAAAGCATTTAAACTGATGTTAAAATCTTATTCAATATATAGTAAACTTTCATAAAGCAATTCCTTATCTATGGTATGGTAAATATATATATATATATATATATATATATATATATATATATATATATATATATGTTCTTCATTATGTCTCCGAAATGCATATGTACATACAATTTTCTCTCAGTACATCTTTTCTTCAGCTCTCTCTCTGTTTTTCTCTCTCTCTCACGCTCGCTCTCTTTCTGTCTGTCTCTTTCTTTCTCTCTCTCTCTTTCTCTCTCCTCTTGCTCTCTCTCGTTCTCTCTCTATCTCTCTCTATCTCTCTCTCTTTCACTCTCTTTGTTCTCGCTCTCTCTCTCTCTCTTTCTCTCTCCTCTTGCTCTCTCTCGTTCTCTCTCTATCTCTCTCTATCTCTCTCTCTTTCACTCTCTTTGTTCTCGCTCTCTCTCTCTCTCTTTCTCTCTCTCGCTCTCTCTCGTTCTCTCTCTCAATCTCTCTCTTTCTCTATCTCTTTATTACTCTTTTCTCTCTCTCTTTCTCCCTGTCTCTCTCACTCTCTGTCTCTTCCTCTCTTGTTCGCTCTCTCTACATAATTTTTGATTTGATTGGATATTTATATCGCGCTGGTATCCATGCCACCTTAGCATGCTCACTGCGCTGTGGTCCTCCGAAATCTATTTTTTTTTAAAAAGTTTTTAATTGTTTCTTAAATGATTTTTTTATCATTTACAATTCCCATAAAAGATTGAGGCAAACTGTTCCATAATTTCGGCGCTATCGCTTCAAAAGAGCGCTCTCCGTAAGACTTTTACAAAAATCTATTAACTGGTCACAGAACGTATAGGGATGTCAGGTCCTTATAATCCAAAGGGAAAAAGTTTCGAATGTGACTTCTATCGCCGTCTCAACACAGACAAGACTGCTAAACATTTCTATGGCTCCTTCTTAGGGCAGAACCGAGGTTCCCCTTAATCCTGAATCTGCCCTGACGCAACATATCAAGAAAGCTCTCCAACCAGGTGACTTTAAGTGGCAGATAACTAACTATTAAACGTGAGACATAATGTGAACAATTTGTCTCAAAGTGATTGTTTGGGTGGCCTTTGACTTTCTTCGGTTCAATTATTTTGTCTTTGTGACGTTTGTACTGTCAAGAAAACCTCTACCTCGTCATTCATTTCTCTATCCCTTAGCAGACCCTGTTTACGACAACTACGAGTAACTACGTTTTTAACCATGACGAGCCTAAGACTACGGCGCTATGACGAGCCAAAGACTACGGCGCTACGACAAGCCTAAGACTACGGCGCTAATGACGAGCCTAAGACTACGGCGCTATGACATGCCTAAGACTACGGCGCTACGACAAGCCTAAGACTACGGCGCTACGACGAGCCTAAGACTACGGCGCTATGACGAGCCTAAGACTACGGCGCTACGACAAGCCTAAGACTACGGCGCTAATGACGACCCTAAGACTACGGCGCTATGACATGCCTAAGACTACGGCGCTACGACAAGCCTAAGACTACGGCGCTACGACGAGCCTAAGACTACGGCGCTATGACGAGCCTAAGACTACGGCGCTATGACGAGCCTAAGACTACGGCGCTAATGATGAGCCTAAGACTACGGCGTTATGACGAGCCTAAGGCTACGGCGCTATGACGAGCCTAAGACTACGGCGCTACGACAAGCCTAAGACAACGGCGCTACGACGAGCCTAAGACTACGGCGCTATGACGAGCCTAAGACTACGGCGCTAATGACGAGCCTAAGACTACGGCGCTAATGACGAGCCTAAGACTATGGCGCTATGACGAGCCTAAGACTACGGCGCTATGACGAGCCTAAACAATACTTCCGTCTGGGAGATTTTTTTTTGATTGTTTGGCTTTATTTTTTATTTTAAAAAAATAATAATTTGGCCTGTTATCAGTAAAAACTTACAGTATGTTTGTGTTGACACCGTAAGCAATCGAACAAGAATAACCGTGATCCGCTTTTTTAGTTGAGTGGATGACATAACACAACTTGTATTTTGTTTGCGAACCAGCCCGCCCCCTCTCCCCCCCCCCCCCCTTTCCCAACCACACTACTCTTTGGAACTTGAAACGCCATTTTTGAAAGCTGAAAACTACTCTGACACTAACCCAGGGGGTACAGAGGTCTGCGTTACTTCCACACATAACACCTGGGTTTGTTTGTTTTTTTATTAGAATGAATGATGAAATGATGAATGATAAGCAATGTGTTTGATTATCTGATTACAGGTCTACTTTTTGGAAGCGGAGACCGATGGCAGAAAAACAAAAGCGCCTTCGTGAAATCCTTGAACACGAAAAACTTCACCAAAACCATGGAGCTCTCCATTCAACGGGAGCTCGAGCTTGTGGTGAAGGAGCTGAGCGCAAGGTGCGACCGCAGCTTAAAAATCGGGGACGTCCTCATAGTGGCATGCGCCAACGTCATAGCCGGTCTGCTCCTGGGGGAACCCTTACCCGTGGGGGGTGAGGACAGAAAGGAACTCCTGGGCATCGTGAACAATTTGGAGCGCACCGACTTGACCTCACTTGTGTCTCAGATATCCCTCAAGTTTCCCATGTGAGTTTATTTTAAGGACACATATTTCCGGAAACGATCCCTTCATGCGTCGCGCTCCTCCCCAGCGAAACTTTCGCGAGGAGTTGTTTTTGTTATAGAATTATTTTTTTATAATTATTAAAACAAAATTCAAACATTGTAATCGCAACATTTATTTAAAATGAAAATCGAAATTTTGAAACACTATCCTGAACAGAAATCAGTTTATAGGTCGAAAAAAAAAATTGAATTGTAATTTAAAATACAAACGCACAGGGATTCCCTTTCAAATTCTTACAATCCCCATTGATTTGGCTTTCCTGTTGCATATTCTAGAAATATGTCAATATGAAGCCCTCATTTTGCGGTGAAACGATTCGATTAATATTTTTTTTTCCCAACTGATATGCTCACTAAAACAGACTCCGAGCTCCGTTGTCAAGAATCTCTGGGAGAGAGATCATAGACATACCCGGCACCAGCCATAGACTTCACGCCCTCATCAGAAAGTGGATAAAGAGCCTAGATACGAGTGGCCCTCCTGCGTACAGTGAGCCAACCACTTCCACTGACGATGTGAAGGACAACACCAAGCCTATGAATTCCTCTGGCGATACTCGTACAGGATTGCTAGAGGACCAGTGGGCATTGCACGAAGAGCCGTTAGAGGACAATCAAAAGTCAACTCTGCAAATAATTCTTGAACAGCAAGAATTCGCTGACGCAGCACAAAAGGGTAAGAACGCACACTGCCTCGAAAAATTGAAAACCTCGAAATGCCCCCCCCCCTATCCCCCTCCCCCCCCCTCCGTCCCCAAAACCGTATTGTTATTTATAAAACGGATTAAATTAGGAAAGCTATGACTTAGTTAAACGATTGGAACTTGACACCACCCCCCGCCCCACCTTTCCCAACCCTCATAAAACAAACAAATATAAACACGTCACATTGTCTGTGCCTCGTGTCTGTGTATCGATATTAGGTCATTTGATACCCGTACACGCTGGGGGATCAAATTGTGACTAACATTCACAGCCAACATAAACAATAGATCGTTGTGTTAGTGTTGTCTTCTGTATCGTTCCAACAGCATCATTTCAGGTCGTGTATCGGTCGCACGCCCCCATCACACAACATACACCTATATGAATAGTATTTGTATTTTGTCTACTTCATAAAACGCAACCCTAAATCTCTTTTATTTATACATTACGGGTTAACCATTGTTTACTTTTTTCTTCCGTTCAACCCACTCCCACTCCCACTCCCACTCCGACAACCCCACAATTTTTTTTTCAGACAACGAGCTGATCCAGTCAGTGACTGACATGTTTTTTGGTGGGGTCACCAGCACCTTGTCCGGCCTGGAGTTCACGCTCATGTATCTGTCCAAACATCCGGCCATCAGGCAAGCTGCTCAGTCCCAGCTTGACAGGGCGGCGGCGGCGGAGGCTCACGGCGGGCAAATCACCTGGTCCATGAGAGAACAGTTGCCTTACTTGCAAGCGTGTATAGCCGAGGGTCTCAGGCTAGGGTCTGTGACGCCATCTTCTTTACCGCACGTCGCCATTGAAGACGTTGAGGTTTGTCTCCATGTTTGAATGTTTGTTTTTTTGTTTTTTATTTCTTTGTAAATTCCGATTTTCTATTATTTAAAAAAAAAAAATTAAATATTATATTTTGTTAAAGAAAATGATGCGGTTCACATCACGGAATATTTGAGAATGGAAACGGGAAATAACGCTTACATAAGGCACAAGAGTGCAATGTAATCGGGAAACGGGGACAAAAATTAAAGGTCATTATTTTTTCCATTATTTTAATGAGGAAAAAAAAAGATATCGTAAGGCCTGTGATATTTATTATTATTTTTTTTTTTTTCAAATGTGGAACTTTACAAATATCGTCCTACTCCAGAATGTCCTATACAATTTACTTTACATTTGGCAAATTCAGCCTACAGTCAAAATAGTATCGGGATGATGAGACAGCAGACCATGTTGCAAGTGTTGAACGGAGAGATAGTCGATCATTTTGGCATACTGTTCAAACACGTTGGGCAACTAGTGTGTTCTTAAGATTCTTTGAATGTAACTTTCATGTTCACTGCTCTCCCCTTTAAAGGTATGTAACGCAGAACTTTATGTATAGCCTGGATCAACAGATGCAAATTGTCTCCCGTCTGCTAGGTTGAAGGCTACACGGTCCCCAAAGGGACGAGCGTCATGGGGAGCATCTACAGCTTGCACCGCGACCCTAACTTCTACACTGACCCGGAAGTGTTTAAACCAGACCGGCACATTGACAGCAATGGTTTGTTTCAAGCCCCAGAAAGTTACAGACCTTTTGGCATAGGTAAAATTGTGTATAAAATATAGTTTGATAGGAATATCAGACGAAAGCATGCATACACAATGTAGTCTTCAACCTGTGATGAGTGGCGCAGCAAAGGTTAGCGCCTCCCAGGCCGGACCAAGATATTTGCCACCCCTTCCACACAAAAAACAAAACAACAACAACCCCCCCCCCCATCTCACAAAAATATGCAGTTGGCCGAAAGTGCCAACCCTCAATATAAAACAGCTGCGCCCGGGTTAACACCCCCCCCCCCCAGTGTGACCCCCCTCCTTATGCCAAGTCCCAGGGTCCAACTTTTCCTCTTCTTTGTCCTCCAGGTGCCAGNCTCCCAAAAATACGCAGTTGGCCGAAAGGGCCACCCCTCAATATAAAACAGCCGCGCCCGGGTTAACACCCCCCCCCCCAGTGTGACCCCCCTCCTTATGCCAAGTCCCAGGGTCCAACTTTTCCTCTTCTTTGTCCTCCAGGTGCCAGAAGATGTGTTGGTGAGGTCATGGCCGAGATGCAGCTGTTTCTCTACATTGCCACCATCCTGAGGCACTTTGATATCACTGCCGTGGACGATGTGGCCCCTGGTGACATGGAGACCCACATGGTGGTGGTTCACCGGCTCAAGGCATTCACGTGTTTGCTCAAACAAAGAAAAGTGACGGGTGTGTAGACCAGTGACTGGCATTTCGGTTATAGTGGACAACTTAGTCTTCTTTGGCATTTCATATGGCTTATTCCAGGCCTGCACAACATACGACCCGCGGGGCCGTATGCGACCCACCAGCACCCACTTTGCGGCCCGCGAAAGAACCAAATATTTTATATTCTTATTATTTTCTTAACAGCTTCCCCCTTGTCCTTTTTTCTTTTGGCCCGCACAAGTTTTTCATAAAGTATTACAGCCCGCCTTACATTTTGAGCGGTGCGGGCCTGGCATATTCCCTTTGAAATGAAAGAAGATGGAAACGTTGATGTGACCGATGAGACCAGGAGCAAAGTTCAAATTGTCGCTGAAGCTGCCCGCACTGCTGAAACCCCAACATGAAAGTATGCGCCATCAAGGCAGCTTGAAAGTAACTGTGTATGCAGATGTTGCCTATCGATGCTATGAACGGGTCAGAAGCTTTCAAAGGAGGCCGTGATTAGAACAATGATGGCCCCATTTAACCAACGTGCCGTTTCCTCAAGTGGTTTAGACTATCTCAAGTGAGCGTTGACGGCAGATGTTTGAAAAAAAAAACCCAACAACATAACATATATGTGATCGAATGAATAAAGATAATCTGTTGGATAAAATGCAAATCTATAATGAATATTGTCGAAATTGATATATATATTTTTTTTTTTTTTTTGAAATTAAAAAATTTTTTTTTTAAGTAAAATTTTTACCCAACAACATAACATATATGTGATCGAATGAATAAAGATAATCTGTTGGATAAAATGCAAATCTATAATGAATATTGTCGAAATTGATATATATATTTTTTTTTTTTTTTGAAATTACAAATTTTTTTTTTTAAGTAAACGTTTTTATTTTTTAAATATTAAAATATTAGACTAAATGACCCGATGTAATCGGGATAATAATGGTTAGGTCCTTTGCGATAATTTTTAAATGCTATTGCAAAAACACATCCCAATTCATAACTTTTAAAATGTAATGATATTTACGTTTCTAATAGCATTCAGTTTTGAGTAGTGTTTATCTGCTATATATGATACGCGTACCCTACACACTTTCACGCTCCTAAACTACTTTTCTGACTCTTAATATGACCTTAAATTACCCAGTCTAAATTACCACTAATTATATCACTTTGGTCATTAAGGAAGTTAATTGAGGGACAATTAATACGCTACAGAAATACTTTAGATTTACCCCTTTTTGTTCCCTTGAATTACAACTTTTTTCACTCAAAATTTGAAAAAAAAACTAATCTTAAATGTACCCCAAAAAACTCTCTATATATAATATAAAAATATTTTGTATTACATGAATTCGATATATATTGATATTTTCATTAAAAAATTAAACACATTTTCGCCTTTTTAACAAGAGAATTTAACATCTCTTTTTTTCACAAATGTAATACCATACGATTTAAATATATTTTCATCCACGTATAAATGTACACATCCTTTTTCCTATCTCCGAAATGTATGTACCCAAGAAGGTTAATTATTAACCAAATTAATTCCATTTTTGGGACGTATCTTGTATTGCTTTGGTCAAAATAAACATACCAAAATTTGTAAAAAGAGAATGTAACATATTTTTTTATCACAAATGTAATACCATAGGAGTTAACTCTGTTGTCATCCATGTAATAATTTACACATCTTATTTCCGACCTCCGGAATTCGATATATATTGATATCTTCATCAAAATTTAAACACATGTTTGCCTTTTTAAAAATTATACATTATCAGAAAATCGTAAAACAAAGAATTCTTTGATCTAAGAAGAATCTCGCAACTGTTTTTCACGCCTATATCTGATTTGACTGTCTTTAACAAAAATAAATAAATTGTTAATCTCATAAAAATACAAACCTCTTTACTTTTTGCTAAGTAACAACAAAAATATATTTTCATTAAAAAAAAAACGAAAATATTAACCCATCTTCATTTGTCATAATTTAATTTCCAAGTGTGTAAAATGATTGGGTTTTGGTAATCATAGATATACTTATATAAATGTACCCAAGATTTGTTAACGCCATTGATTTTCTTAATTGGTAAACATATGTTTATTTATAAAAAGAGAATGTAACATCTCTTTTTCACAAATGTATACCATGTGATTTAATATATTATATATATATATATTTGCGTGATCATTTATAACAAATTTATTTTAATGTTATTTCGCAATATTAACAACGCACTAAGAGACGCACTAAAAACGACTGATGCTTGGGTTTTCCCGATAAATGTGATTACATTGTAATTTGTTGATCATGACTGTTTTATTTTTTTATATTTTCATCACTTTCAAACACATATAAAATGCTTAAAATAGTTCCTTAGTTGATACTTTAAATGTATTTGTAATTTTTAATAATACAACGTTAACTTTTACTAAAATAAAAGTGCATTTAAAATATTTTTTGCGCATTTAAATTTATTCGATCTCCGTAAAATAATAGAAAATAACTATGATTGTTTTTTTAGGAATCCGAACGTACTTAAATCGTATCAGCCCTTTGGCGTTATGTCACTCTAGCTCAGTCTTATATAAATATAATATAACAATATATATCAAATATAATATATCAAATACCTCCATAAATATTTACAAGCATTGCCTCCTTGAATCCCTGTGGTAGTCTGTAATGGCATCTCTCCCTTTCATTGTATCTTCATCTCTTCATTATCCCCGTATCTTTCTCCATTCATTATGTCAGTTAAATGTTAACTGTCAATATTTTGAAACACAGAATTGTGTTTATTTCAAGCTTAACACTATTTATAACTATGAAAATTATTGTTTGGTTTTTGGCCTCTGGAATTTTTGGATAAATATTGTCTGGACATCAAGTTGGCGACACGAAATAATTTACACGTACCATGTTCCGACAGAGTGAGAACCATTTGTAGTTTACTTGAAACATAACTTATGATATGTTCACTACTGCATCCCAGGAACTTAGGCGGGGGGCAGGGGGGTTGCCCGCCCCCGGGTGGCGCTTATTCTAGGGTGTTATTTTAGGCAAAGTTCATAGACTGTATATATATTTTTTAAAATATATTTATTCTATATTCATGGTTCTATTTAGGACGGCGCAGTCAAGAAGCTCACAGGGTATGGCAAAGTCTAGCCACTCCACTGCTTTGACTCGTGTGTATGTAAATATAATATGTGCCACGTAACAGGTGTGTGAATGTGCGTGTTCATGAGGGGGGTGGGTGAGTGGGCATCCTACACATTCTTCACACGCACTGGTGTGTGCATGTATTTAAACATTTAAAAGTTTAAGCTTATTTCGAAATTCTTGACAAATTCTAAGACGGAGAAGGAATACATCCACCGCGAGCAGTTAAAAGACTTAGTGTTATTTCTTAATGTGTTTAAAAAAAAAAATCTTTTCATCTCTGCCATCGATAATTTAGCAGGCTTAAAAAGATGTGAACTCTGACCTAAATGTACCGAGCGGTCTGGACCACTTTATCTTTAAGGCGACCGTGTCAACAGTGCCCGCGCTTATGAATGTGTTTCTATGGTTACCGACCCCCATTGCCGTGACGTAAAGCAAATAATCGGTGGAATTTACTTCCTACTAACCAGTGGCGTAGCTAGGGTAAGGGGAGGGGGGTCCAAATTTGAAAGTCCTCCCGGACCCCTACTTGAGGGAGGCCCCCAAAGGCGTGTCCGAAAATTTTTTTTACATTAAATAATGTCGAATGTCAAAATGCAGGGGCCCCTAAAGAGGCCAAGCCCCCCTCCCCCAGGCCCTCAAATCCCCCCAAATCCCTAGCTACGCCACTGCTTCTAACATACGTCGCTTTGGGATGTCCTATGACATCCACGTTCCCATTATAAGTATGGGCCAAGAAAAAATGTCACGCTCTCATTAAAAATAAATAAGATGTCATACTCCAGTCATAACCATAACACTCAAGTACATAATAAAAGGAACAATTTGTTCATAAAAAATATATTGAAGATATAATTAGGCTTTGATAATAATAAAAATAGAACTGTACTATCACTTTGTTACCTAACTTAACTAGGGCATCGGGAGAAATAACATGACACTGGGAGAAGGTATGGAAGGAGCACTAAGAGATGGCACAGGAGCACTGGGAGAAGGCAAAGAAGTTTCACTGGGAGATGGTATGGAAGAAGCATTGAGAGAAAGGACAGAAGAAGCACTGAAGATTCCAACCAAGGAGCGCTATAAAGCGGTTTGGGAAGCGCATTGGGAGATGGTATGGGAGCAGCATTGGTAGATGGTATGGAAGCGCACTGGGAGATGGTATGGAAGCAGCATTGGTAGATGGTATGGAAGCGCACTGGGAGATGGTATGGAAGCGCACTGGGAGATGGTATGGAAGCGCACTGGGAGATGGTATGGAAGTGCACTGGGAGATGGTATGGAAGCGCACTGGGAGATGGTATGGAAGCGCACTGGGAGATGGTATGGAAGCGCACTGGGAGATGGTATGGAAGCGCACTGGGAGATGGTATGGAAGCGCACTGGGAGATGGTATGGAAGCGCACTGGGAGATGGTATGGAAGCGCACTGGGAGATGGTATGGAAGCGCACTGGGAGATGGTATGGAAGCGCACTGGGAGATGGTATGGNTTTATTTGTTTGTTATTTTTTTAAACAGGTGTTTTTTCAAACGCGTGGTCTGGGGTCAGGGGGGTTTTTTCATTTTTTTTCCGGGGGGGGGGGTGCGGACCAAAATTTGGTCGGCTTGATAAGTTGTTTATTACTGGCCACAGTATATAGCAATTTCAATAAAACCTGCAAATTCGCTGTCTGTGCTTGCACTGCTGACTGCTGACCAAATGAGCTCTACCTGTCGTCTGCTTGAGTTTAGCCATCGAGGAGAGACTTTATATATTTAACTCAATCTCAAAGCTGAATTTACAATGGGTGGAAGGAGTTGGGGAGGGGGAGAGATCTAGTACATGGAGGAAATTTTACAGGACACCTTTTGTTGCGGAAGATTCCGTCATTAAAGTCTAATTCGACAGAATTTAAAGATTACGATAAGGTTAAATGACAAAGGTAAAAGACTAATTGCTTAGCCAAAAAAAAAAAAAAAATCCTGAGAATTCGAGGCAGAACGCAGAAGCGGCAATAATCTAAGCTCACCATTTAACCATTCCACTGTTTCGTATGTTACAGCTTGATGGCAATGTGAGTAGAGTTAGATAAGAGAATAAGAAAATATTTTTTTTTTAATCTTTAAAAGAAAAGACTACTTATCAAAGACGGGCTAAAAGGAAGTAAAAAATAGAAAATAATTAAGCAAAAAAAGACTACGCAGAAGTGTTTTTACTCATGAGTATCAAAGTTAATTCAAAGCTGTGTTTTTGTCAAATGGTATCAAAGATAATGCACAGCTTCCCCAAATAGAGCAGAGTGTCACCAAATTGAACTTGGTATCACCAGTGAAGGCTGTCACCAGTGCAGGGTGTCACCAGAGTAGGGTGCCACCAGAGTAGAATGTCACCAGAGCAGGCTGTCCCCAGAGCAGGCTGTCACAAGAGTAGGTTGCCACAAGAGCAGGCTGTCCCCAGAGCTGGTAGCCATGAGAGCAAATTGTGACCAAAGCAGGGTGTCACCTGAGCAGGGTGTCACCTGAGCAGGGTGTCACCTGAGCAGGGTGTCACCAGAGCTGGGTGTCATCAGAGCAGTGTGTCATCAGAGCAGTGTGTCATCAGAGCAGGGTGTCATCAGATCAGGGTGTCATCAGAGGAAATAGCTGCGGAGTTCAATAGCGATTTGGAGTGGGTGGCATCGTGAGTTGACACCAACCATAGTGACGACACTGTGTGACACCAACCCTAGTGACGTCTCTGTGTGACACCAACCCTAGTGACGCCACTGTGCGACACCAACCCTAATGACGCCACTGTGTGACACCAACCCTAGTGACGCCACTGTGTGACACCAACCCTAGTGACGCCACTGTGTGACACCAACCCTAGTGACGCCACTGTGTGACACCAACCCTAGTGACGCCACTCTTGGAACTGATGTAACGTCTTCATGACCCACATAACGAAACGGTATTTTACTAGTAGGTAGCCCACGCCCCCCACCCCCCCCCCCAAAAAAAAAACACCAAAAATATTTATTTACAATATATGCCAGTCTACTCCATACGTTTACGTCTTCTTCTATATTTTGGGGGCCCACGATCAATGTTTTTTTCTTAACAATTCTTTTCTCTCAAATCCCACACAGTAAAACAATCTTTCACGGCTGTGTACAAGACAACACGACTGTTTTTACATGAAAAGACGGCTTCGTACATTTCAACACGGCCTTGCACAGGGCAACACGGCTGTGTATCAGACAACACGGCTGTGTACAAGAAAACACGGCTTCGTACATGTCAACACGACTGTGCACATGTCAACATGGCTGTGTACACGACAACACGGCTGTGTACGTGACAACACGGCTTTGTACACGATAAAACGGCTTATATTTTGATTGCATAAAGGTCCTCAAATATTTTTTTGTCCATGCTCCGTTGGATTTAAAATAGGTCCATTTGCAGAGTCTCTACGTGCCGAGCGTAGATAACGTATGAATGCTGTAGATTTTTATAGACCCGGAAGATAATTTTAATTTTCAGCGTCCTACGCGTTCCGTTGCATTCATTGCATTCGAAACTCCAACCCCCAGTTTGCCGAATCCAATACAAAGTTTTCTCAGCGTCAAATGCTGTTAGCTTATCAAGGGTGTCTACTCGGAGGTTGGAGCAAAAGCCTGTGTAAAAACAGCGCCTGATCCAAGGGGGGACACAATCAGTCACGTGTCCGATCAAGGATCACAACTCGGGGGGGGGGGGTAGAGATGTGTTCCGTCTAGTTTAACGTCACCACATTGCGTGCAGATTTTGCGACGTTCCAAAATAAAGTTGAAGATACGAGATCCTTTAAGTTAGTGAACTATTAAAAGCGAACATAAGACACCAGGGTGTTAACAACTCTTTGTTTGTGTGGATTCTGACAGGCAGTTTGATGGCGCGATTGATTTTTTAGTCTAGCGGTATCAACTCTCGTAACAGTTAAGAACAGCAACAACACTTGGTTAAGCGCTTCAAAAGAGTTCTTTATTGACAAAACGACCATCTCCGTACCTTCGTCTTTCAGCTCCCACTCTACACCTCTACATACCTATCTTCTGATCCATAACAACAAAACGAAGTCATCCCTCATACCCACAAACGTCATCCATCACATTCACTTTGCAACAGCTACACAATAAATCTCTACACCAAATACGCCGCTAAAAAAATGATGCATTCCAAAACACAAGCCAATACACACACTCCTGGAGCAAATCATTAACACTGGGTTATTTACCCCTAGAATCCACTGTATTTTTTTGTTTCGCTTATATGGATATGTTGATGACAGCGTTTTGGGGGAAAAGTAGTACACGACATATCGAAAGCTTTTATTGACTTAGGAGACGCATCACTACAGGCAGGGCTTGAAGTTAAGAACCAAAAAAACAACAACAAAAACCCCTTACTTTATTAAGAGAATAACAGACATATGATACCATTAAAATGGGAAAGCACAATTTTTAAAAAGTAAAGCAATTCAAACACCTAGGATCCTTTATTTACAGATGAAAGAAAGAAATACTAGAAGAAATAAAAGAAAGAACATTGGCCGGAAACATGACATACTTAAGTAGTTTAAAAATAATCAAAAGTAAAAACATTAAAACAAAAAAATAGAGAAGACTACATATAAAACTGTAATCAGACCAGATGTAACATACTCAAGTGGAACTTGGAATCTGAACACAAAAGAAAAACGGCATACAACCTGTTGAACACATGGGAGAGAAAAGGGCTCACGAAAGTTTACGAACCAGCAAAGGATGAATATGGATAGAGAATACGAACCAACCAAGGAGTGTACAGTCTGTATCAGGATCACGCGCTAGTAGCAGAAATACAAAAAGGGCGGGCTACGCTGGGCGGGACACTTGGAAAGCATGCACAAATGACAGAGGAGTGAAGAGGGTACATCACCAGAACCCCAGATGAAAACGGCTCAAAGGCAGATCTAGTCTTGGTTGGCTGATGTGGGAAAAGATCTACGGCAGCTGGGAATCCAAACATGGAAAAGAAAAACCATCAGTTAGGTCTGAGTGGAAGGATGTGGTGAGGCGTGCCAAAGCCGTCCATGGGCTGTAGCGCCACATAGATGGATGGATTGAATCCACTTCACACAAATGACATCTAAATTATGTACATAGAGAGAACATTTAACATAATGTTTCTTAACATCCACTGACTCTCCACATGACGTCATGTCTGTTTAATCCAGATAAATAACAACAACTTCCGCAGATAGAGTTTTATGACGTCACGTCCTCATTTGGATGAACCACTCACGACTAAACGATATTAAAGCCATATCTGAGGAAGTTGTTTGACCTTGGCAGCGGCTCCTGGTGCATGTAGTTCAGAAGAAGCTCTTCCACGTCGCCGAAGTGCTTGGCTTTATCCAAACTCACCCCGGAGTCGGACGTGTGTATCTTATACTCCACGACCCGCCCGTTGGCGGTCAGGTACGCTATCACCTTCTCATCGCCGTGCCGGGACTTTCGAATCAGGTATGTGCCGCTCGCCTGCTTGGCTTGCAGCATGCGGACCAGATCGTCCCGGTCAGATTTGTCGTCAAGGACGGTGCACTGCTTCTCGAGCGACCGTGCCAGGTTATCGCTGGGGTACTCGTAGTCGGAATCAAGACCTTCAACATTGACGTAATCTTTCGGGAAGTCGTCAACTAAAGTGCTGTACCGCGGGGGCACATTCTCCGCCGGGGTTGGCGGAAGAGAAGCAGACTTTTTGCGCTTGTTTGTCAATGGGGATTTTGGCGGGGGGTCGGTTGGAAGGGCTGGTAAAGGCTTGGGTGAAGGATCGGTTCGAGAAGTTGGTGTAGGCTTGGGTGGAGGGTCAGTTGGAGGTGTTGGGGAAGGCTTGGGTGGAGGATCAGTTGGAGGGGTTGGGGAAGGCTTGGGTGGAGGATCATTTGGACGGGCTGGAGATGGCCTGGGTGAATAAAGGTGTGGCAGCTTACTGGGCTTGTCAGCTTTAGTCGATACTTTGTATCGAGCTTGCTGTTTCAGTTTATCCGTCGACGAGAAGCTCTCCGAATCACCGTCATTACTGCTGGAGTCGTAGAACTCATCATCCGAATCCGAACCATCCCCCAAGACCGAGATTTTCGTATGAGGCACGGGTTCCTCTATGGACGTGTACACAGCCTCCAAGACTGGATCCCCCGCGGACAGAGCCCTCAGCTGCTGCTCCGACACAGGGCCGAGCTTGCTAAAATCATTGAGGGAGAATATCTCGTTTCTGATGGCCATCATCCACTCGCATCTTTCCTGATCGCTGACGCAAGAGAACGTTTTAGGTTTGATGGTCGCCAGGTCCAGAGCTGGCATCAGTGTGAAACACCAATCATGGACAGCGGTGCATGTCCGCACGACCTGCTTGTACCCATGCAGCGGCAAAGTAGCATTCGGAGACTTGGAGGTCTCGTCCCCGTAGATGTATATGGAATCGTGCAGTAAAATAACAAACCGCCTGGGCCAAGTTTTGTGAATTATAGATGGGGATTTTTTCCGAAGCACCCCAGATTTCACAACGGCTTTGTGCAGTTTGATGAGATCTTGGGCAGAAACGCCAGACTTGGTCATGAGCAGCTGGGCCGGAAGTGTTGAGGCCTTTTTCAACGTTGATTGCATTGCTGAGTCTTTGGGGGGAAAAGAAACAGAAAAAAACAGTTGAATAAGGTGTGGATTTTAATTAAAACTTAATCTAAAGTTTCCACTCCACGTGAGATGGTCTCTGTACTTGATAGCGTGGTTCACCATACGCGTTTGTAGCAGCTAAACAAATTCATTGAAGGTGATCTGCTATAACATTCAGCAAATACCTTGTTAAATTTTCTTAACTTGCCCCCCCCCCCCCCCCCCCGAAATTTTTTTTTTTTAAAAAATGATTGAATGTATATCACCAACTTTTCATCAAATTAATTTCGAATTTGAAAGTTAAGCATCATCTTTTGAAATTCCTCACCACAAGATGTCTTTTATACGAAAACTAGAAAATTAAATTCAAAATATAATTTAAAAGCGTGTATGCAAGTTGCGATGACAATGAGTTGTGCGATAATTTGATAACGGATTTGTTAAAAATGTCACCGAAGAGCTATGGTTACAAATATCATTAATTTATACTTTACTTTATTCTAAAAATCATGCTAATATAGTTATTACATTGTTATTGCATCTTTCAGTCTCCAGGTCCAATAATAGGCTAAACGTTATTTCTTAATGAATATTATTTTTTTTTTAAATAACCTTTTGCGAGAGGTAAACGAAATCCCACTGCACTTTAAACAAAGTATAAGCAAAGTAACTATCACCACCAGGGTTGTGTGAAATCCAACTTCACTGTAAAAATGAAAGTACACCAACAATTTTACCACCAGTATTTGTATGCAGCAAAGTGCATACTACCTGTCCTAATCAGCAGTCGCTTTCCTCTAGTAGTGACGGTATGACGATGAAAGCGACACTATTCAACCGTTTATCATACTTCCCTACCCGGTATGTGCTCTAGTGCGTCCTCTTTTCAGCACGTAGATCATTGGCGGGGGCCTATGTGACCCAGAAAATAGATCATTGGCAGGGCATAGTACCTCAGCACATAGATCATTGGCGGGGCACAAGTGACTCGGAACATGGATCATTGCCTCGGCACGTAGATCATTGACAGGGCAGGCGTGACTCAGCCCGTAGATCATTGGCAGGGCAAGCGGGACTCAGCACATAAGATCATTGACATGGCATAAGATACTCACAATATTGGCAGGGACCAAAAACATAGATCATTGGCAGGGCATTTATATAAAAGTGAAAAGTTGTGGCTCTGTTTGTGGCTATGTTTGTTCCAAATACTGTTTTACATGGATTGATGGATCTTGACCAAACTTGGCACATATATCCATCAATATCAGGAAAGAACTCTTGAGAGGTTTGAACATTTTATGACGCTCTATTTGGGGCTGGGGGCAATTAATTGGTTTGCTCTATTTGGGGCCGGGGGCAATGAATTGGTTTGCTCTATATGGGGCTGGGGGCAATGAATTGGTTTGCTCTATTTGGGGCTGGGGGCAATGAATTGGTTTGCTCTATTTGGGGCCGGGGGCAATGAATTGGTTTTTTTCTCCCTAATATGAGATATATTAATAAAATTAACAATTAATACTCCTCTATGACAAGATGGAACTTGACCCAGCTTAGTACACAAACACTTGATTATACATATTCAAGTACCGTAAGCGGTCGTTCGAAAATTATGTCAGTTCAAAAACGACCTTTTCAGAACTCCCCCCTCCCCCCGGGTCACAAAGTGTCACAAATTCTTTAAACCTTCCCCCCCCCCTTTTTTTTTTAGTGTCACGTTACACCTAAAAAAATTCTAAGCATACATAATATTTTTATAACCAAACTAAGATTTTAGTTCATTCTTTAAAATTGTCACAAATTCTTTAAACCTTCCCCCCCCCCTTTTTTTTTTAGTGTCACGTTACACCTAAAAAAATTCTAAGCATACATAATATTTTTATAACCAAACTAAGATTTTAGTTCATTCTTTAACATTTCCCCATATTGGATTAAGACTTAGTATTATCATCCACAAGACGGATGTAAAATGACCACAACAGTTTTTGCGTCATTTTTCGATATGCGCAGAAGGTGTGCGCGACTGAGTTTCATGTTACTTATAATACCTGAGGCAATTTCTACCTCAAATTAATGTTTTTAAAATTAATCGAATAAAAGTTTTTCCAAATTAGAACATATTAGATTTTTTTTTTTTAATTTTTAAAAGTGCGACGTCACAAATTTTTGACCCCCCACCCCGTAAAAAAAGTGTCACAAATTCTCGAACCCCTCCCACCCCTGAGAGTAAAGTAATTTGCGAATGACCCCTAGGGTACTGAACTCATAGTATCCATTTATCTGGGGGCCGGGGGCTCTATTTCATCTTTCCTTATATAAGCTATATAAATATCAAACTGCTTTGACAACAATATAATATGCACCATGTGATGAAATGGATATAGGAATGGCTTGTTAGCAATGCTCTTCATTGTCCATCTTGAAGTATCGGTTGATTTAAAATAAATAATATCCAATCCACTCAGGGTCGATCTAGATTTTTTCCAGAAAGTTAAACATTTTTAAAAAAATCTATATCTATGTCATTTTTAAGCCGATATTTATGGGACAGCTTTTAACGTTTAAATGTATTATTTACCTGACTGATTTTTATAGGGCCCCATCTCAGGCAACACTAATTCGGTACAATTATAGAATGGGCCCCCGTCAGTAGTATCGCATTATGTCGTAGAATTTTTCGTATTCGAAAAACATTTACGTAGAAAAGTGATTTTTTTTTTTGCATGCTTCCAGGAGGATATTAAGTAAATTTGGAATGTTTCAGAAAGTTCTATAGTGTTCTACCATAATATCTAATTGGATCTAAAATCTGATTGAGATGTCGGTTTAGTTCTTTTCATTTCAAGACTTTGATGGGGATTTTGTTTAATCACACCCTTCATGATCCTACCGGGAACAAAATCCAAATGGGAACATGATCCCACCCACGAACGGGATGCTAGAGAGGAACGAAATCAAACAGTAAACTGGAACCCACCATTAACGCGATCCCATCCGGTAACAGAATAAAATCGGGTTCCTATCGGGAAACGAGATGCCATCGGAAAAGAGGATCCCACCGGGAAACGGGATACACCGGGTTAGGGACCCCACTGGCAAATGGGATCACACCGGGATTAGGTTTCCACAGCTATCGGGATCCCACCGGGAAACTGGATCCCGACGCGATGGGGAACCACAAGGTTCAGGATTCCACAGGAATCGTGATCCAACCGGGATCTGGATAAAAAAAACGGAGAGGGATACCATTGGTAAACGGGAAAAGGCAGCAGAAGTTGTTTTTCCGAATGCGATCCCGGGCAACGCCAGGTTTATTGGTTGGTATATATATATATAATGTTTGCATGTATGTCCAGTGTGTGTTCCTATACCATTTAACAGATTTCGATAAAACTTTGGTGAGATGTTGTGCGAAGTTGTTTTTCCTAATGCGATCCCGGGCAACGCCAGGTTTATTGGTTGGTATATATATATATAATGGTTGCATGTATGTCCAGTGTGTGCTCCTATACCATTAAACAGATTTCGATAAAACTTTGGTGAGACGTTGTGCGAACGCCCGCAAAGGTTTCTAATTTAGTACTACCATTTTACAATATTCCGTTTGGGGTCGGCGGCCCTAAATCGTTTATTTCTTATATGAGCTATATCCTGTAATTTCAAACATAAATTTGCATGGGTCGATCAATCGCTACAAGTATGTGGACTAAATACTTCTTACACGGACAGCTGTATGTGGCGTTCTCACCCGTCGAAAGACCTTCTAATTTATTCGTGTGCGCACCAGACGGATAAACAAAATATATTGTATATATCAAATGTACTTTAAAAAAAAACAATTAAAACACAATTTCTCTCTTTGAGTGGCATTGCAACGTTTGCAGGTTACTCACTATTCCATATATAAATCTATTATATATATTTTTATAGTCATAACTTATTTATTTTGATGTCTGTTGGACCTCCCCAAAAAGTAAATTTGAAACATAGAAATTAGAATACATCACAACATGTTTAGGTCTTAGAACGCCAAACGGCATTTGAAATTGTCTTGCTTCAGAAAGGGCTACTACTTTTTAATTATCTTTTTAAAAATTAATAAATCAGTTACCTCCCCTTAAGACATTTACGCCTCGACAAATTTCAATGATCACTTTAGTAAACATTTTATGAATTTGATTCTTGGTCTGTTACTTTTTTTTCTGTCTTTCATTTTGAAGCCTCTCAAGTTAATTATGATTATCACTACATTGTTTCATTTCTTTTCCTCACATGTGAGATTAATGACGTAGTGAATCTATTAAATGAAGAATATGCTTGAACAGTGCTTTTTTTGTAAAAAAAAAATAGGTGCCGGTACTCAGTGATGGATTGCCTAACTTTTAACTACCAGTTCGCACCCCGATGCAAGCTAAATCACAACTGCAAAGATACTAAATGTCTAAAAAAAAATATTTTATAATTAACCAACTTAAATTGTTTTATTATTACTTTATTAGTATACCGTAATTAATTAATAATAAACGTTAAAATACAAGAAAAGTAATAATTTTTTCCCCACATTGAAAAAGGTGCCGGTACGCCGTACAGGTGCGTACCGGCACAAAAAAAAGCACTGTGATTGAACCAATAATTTATACGTACGTCAAACGGAATAATGCTTCCAAATTATTTATTTTGTTTAAAAAACATATGAATACATTTAGGAAAGTATTTACTGTAGTTGACATTACTCATCTAAACTGAAAATGTTCAGTCGCCTAATATTGTGGGTTATATAAACGAGGACAACTTTTTGCTTGGAGCAGAACAACAGTTATTATTGTAATATATATTATACTACATTTAATTATTATTTGTATATTTTATATATTAAATAGGCTGTGACTATTCGTACCCGGGTACCAGAAGTGAGAGGTTGGGATTAAAAAAAATATTTAAAATTTTATTGTTGGGTTTGTAAGACATAATGAGGTATCAATCAAATAAAAGATAATTGAATGGACTATATGTTTGTGAACTTACTTCTTCAGTTTAACTAAAATAAACTACAACAAATGACATCCGAATAGCACTGAGTCAAAATGGACCCAGACACGCAGCGCCGCCATTCGCACCCGGGTACCATTAGACTCAAGCTATTCGGATGTCATTTGTGGTAGTTAATTTTAGTACTCACTTCTGGTACCCGGATACGAATATCTACTTCGTATTAAATATTCATTTTTATTTAAATGAAAGCATTAAGTAGCCAATTGAATAAAATTCAAAACTTTTATCTATGTGGAATTCTTTTTTTGAGAGAATTTTTTTTTTAAGTCCCTTATAAAATGTGTAGCAAATGGATGATTTTTAAAACCTATCAGTGGTTAAAAACCATTATCAGAGCTCATCTCATTCACGCACAAATGTTCACAACTGAAATCAATATTTTTAAAACACGTCTATATCAAAAGATTTATTTACATAATGAAATGTATATGTAAATAATTTACACTGACGGAAAATAACGTTTACACAGGTCTAGTGTCAAAAAGACAGGCCTTATGTCACAATAATAGGTCTAGTGTCACAAATACAGATCCAGTGTCACAAATACAGGTCTAATGTCGTAATAGCAGGTCTAGTATCACCAATTCAGGTCCAGTGTTACCACAACAGGTCTCGTGTCACCAATGCAGATGTAATGTCACAAAGAGATGTGTAGATGACTTCGATTCCACATAGGATGGACGACGCCAAGAGCCTGTGCGATCACCAGCACAACCATATGACTTTTACAGCCAAGACTCAACCCATGGCATTGCTTGCAACTTTCACCTTCCCACGACAAGCGAGCCAAGTCACAACATGTTGAGCAAACATTTCGAATACTTTTTGTTTACTCGAATGAACACATCAATTAATGATCACGCATAAAATGAAACATTTCATGACGTAATCCCACGACATGCAAACAGCGCCATCGAGGTACACACACACACGACTGCGTCAAAATTATTAACTAAGCATTGAAACTTAAATAAAATATTCACATTTATCACAAAAATTTTAGATACTACTGCTGCTTGTCAACATTGCTGGAAGAAATTCACTACTACGTGCTATTCTAATACATTAATTTTAAAATGAAGCATTCAGCTCCTTCAAAATGGTATTTCTCCATCTCATCCTCTCCACACTCCCCCCCCCCTTCTCCTTTTCATTACGGAATCCTCAACCTTTCACCGTCTTCTTCAAATGTCACAGTTTCGCACTTTAGCCCCGGTTAATGTCAATCTCCCCTAACCATATCCCGGCAGCCCTGTATCCCCCCCCCCGAACATGATCATCCTCTTCTTTCTACCCCGTGAACCATTCATTCAACCACTTCCCAAGACAATTCCTTCGACACTCTCCACGCATCCTCCAACACTCCACGCTCATCCTCATACATATTACACTCATCATCCTACACTTTAGTCTACACTAATAATTTACACTAGATCCCCCAAATATCCCCTCTTCCCTACACAATCTGCCCCCCCCCCCCCCCAAACTCNGAAGTATATATCAATAATGATATTTTACAAGAAAATTGACCCTTTGGGTGTCTTGCCTGGATGGTGACTAAGGCGGGTGACCCCCTCCCCCCCCCCCCGCGTCATTGTTTTTAGCCAAAGTTGACGAAATGCAACACTTCCCGAATGAACTTACTTAATTTATAATAATTCTACATCATACTTAGTCCATTTCTGCTATTACAGAATTTGAAACCTGTTACAAAGGTATGCAAAAAAAAAAAAAAGTTAACATTTTTTTTTAAAAAAAGGTGATTATATAACGGATATTTTATTACTGCTTAATATATTTATTTTATATTAATAAAAACCGAACACTTTATATCTATGAATCGAATGATATAAAAGTAGGCAACTTGACATTCATAACAGCAATTCATTATTTCATCTCTCAGCAGCTGAGCAGTGATGTTTATTTACGGGTCTCATTTCAGTTCTTATGGTCGCAGCGGTTCTTACGGTCGCAGCGGTCGATGCAATCGAAGCATAACAATATTTCAATATTCTATACAATAATGTGATTAAGAGTATTATATATACAAAAAAATATCTACAGTAACCGGCTTTGTAGCTAATAATTGCAAATAAATACACAATTTGGCCTTATTGTTTACACTGCCTAATATAGTTATAACAAATCGTGAGAAAAACTACCAATAATTTTATCTAAAACAGCAAATATATATTTCTATTTATAAAGAAAGATTTAAATACTTAACGTAGCTCTATCTAGACGATACTAATAACATTTTACATGCAACACTTAGAGACGACATATCTATCTAATTGTTAAAAAAGACATATCTATCTAATTGTTAAAAAAGACATATCTATCTAATTGTTAAAAAAGACATATCTATCTAATTGTTAAAAAAGACATATCTATCTAATTGTTAAAAAAGACATATCTATCTAATTGTTAAAAAAGACATATCTATCTAATCGTTAAAAAAGACATATTCATATAAAATATTAGATATAAAGAGGATGGACAAAAACATTCTAGTAGTCATTGAATTATGATATATTTCAATTTCTGTTTTTTAGAATCATTACCAAATCTATTAAAATGAACTTAATAATAAATACATATTATTCTCGTTGTTCCAATCGTAGTCAATAAAAGAAATATAACTCTTCCTAGTCTGTCTGATAATAGATAGACGATTCGCTCCCCTGTCATGTCATTTTGTTTTGTGATTAATTCTCACTTGCAATATTCATGCCACACAGTGGGGTACCTAGGGAGTGCGTATAGGGTGAAGCTACCGGCATTTAAAGGTTAAATATACAACTCCAATTAAACAATTTGTTGAGTGTGGGTCAACGTAGAGCTCTGAAACCCATTTTTTTTTCTAAAATCACTCGCGGCACACCAAAGACCTTTCCGAGAATACAGCGGCACACCAAAGACCTTTCCGAGAATACAGCTGCACACCAAGAGCCAAATATTTTTTTTTTAAATATACCAAATTACATAATCTAGTGGGCTTTAGTTATGATGTTAACAGTTATAACAGTACAATGCATGTTCCATTTAAAAGGTCTGTACTGAACATCCTTCTACTACAGCAGGGTTGGACTGTTTGTTAACAATGTCCGATTTGTAGGTTGCGCAGCTCTGGGGAATGGAACGCAATTTTGGGGGATATCGCCATGGGAGACAACCAGTAAACGCAACTGATTTCACAACCCCATTTCAATTCTTTCGTCATGTCCCGACAGAGTACTTTGACCTCAAGCATGTTGACAGACGATAATGTCCAGACAGAGCACCTTGACCTCAAGCATGTTGACAATCGTTCGAACCATTTCACCGAGCCAATAATTCTTTAGGAAGCCAACAACTATCCGTTGTAAAAGTGTTTGCATTCAGAAACCTTCATCACGAGACCCTGAGACCATTTTTTTGGGTTGATGTTTTTGTTATAAAAACACAGCGTGGCGATTCAGTCAGAATTATAGCATACATTCAGGAATTTGGGTTTGAAAACATATATATGCCATTTAGTTGTTTTTTTTAAATACGTTTTATTCTCTTTAAGAGTTAAGAACACGGCAAATCCGTAAATTTGAAATACTTGGCGGTTTATGTACAATTTAGATCAACAATGCCGGAAGTGACATGAAATAGACTCTGCCCCTTCACCAATATCCAGTAACGTCGTGAGAGTAATCTGCCCCTGTTTTCCAAATCATATTTTCTTGGTAAAAAAAAAAGGGGGGGGGGGGAATATACGACCAGTATTCGTTACTCTTCCCCTCACACCACGCCCTAACAAAGTGACATGAAATAGACTCTGCCCCTTCACCAATAGTCAGTAACGTCGTGAAAGTAATCTGCCCCTGTTTTCCAAATCATATTTTCTTGGTAAAAAAAAAAGGGGGGGGGGGAATATACGACCAGTATTCGTTACTCTTCCCCTCACACCACGCCCTAACCAAAACGTGAAGACTCAACGAAATGGCGCCGGAAGTGACGTTCATAACGTCTCGCTGACATTTACGCTGTGGAATCCATATTTCAGCTTGTAGTCCGACAGAGGCAATGTCCCGACATTAGTGTAGTGCTGAAGAAGCTCGTCCACGGTATTGAACTTGTCACTCCTCTCCAGGAACACCTTGTGGTCCTCGTTGTAGATTCTGTACTCCTTCACGTGACCGTTTCGGGTCAGGAACGACAGAATTTTCTGGTCGCTTTGTCTCGACTTCCTGATCAAATACGTGCCGAACGCCCTTTTGGCTTGAAGCTGAATTATGAGATGATCTCGGTCCGGATTGTCGTCAATCACCGTACACATGACCTCCAGGGACATGTCGATCGGATCCGGAGGAGTCTCGTACAGATCAAAGTCCTCCTTTATCTTGTTCAGGTTGACGTAATCCGGCTCCTCCTCCGTGACAACCTCACTGTACCGTGGGGGTGGGGGTTGGGGGTCAGAAGGGGTCCTATGCAAATTGGAACCCTTTTGAGATTTAGATTTGTGAGATTTCACGTGCTCGTCTTCCTCATCAACAGAACTGATGCCGCTGTATTTGAATGAGAATTTGGCTTGGAGCTGCAACATCTGATCACGTGTTACCGCCTGCGGCATGGACAGCGACCTTTTCGTCTTTTTAAACTCGGGCTGCGGTTCCTCCTCCTCAGATTCCGATGATTCGTCCTCATCTTCGGACGTCTCGGCCAACTCTGGCTCTTTATCACCGGGACTGAACACCTTCTCCTCTATCTCTTTGTATTCGTCCTCGTCGCTCATGGACAGCGATTTCAATTTCTCGGTGAGCGACATGTCTAACAGATCAACGTTGTTCGCCGTGTATATCTGCTGCTTGATGGCCAGCATCCAGTCTTTTCTCTCCACGTTGCTGAGGCACGCAAACGTCTCCTTTTTGGAGGCTTTTGAAATCTGGGCCGGAAGCACCTCGAAGCAATGCTCGTGGGTCTTAGACTGCACCCTCTGGACACAGTTGTAACCGACCAGTGAAAATGTGTGGCACGCTGACTTGGCGTTCTCATCGTTGTAGATGTAGACGGCCCCGTGAAGCAGGACCACAAACCTGTGTGGCCATTTGCCGAAATTGATTTTTGAGTTTTTGCGACGGAGAATCCCATATTTCATGGAGGCTTTTGGAAGCTGGATGAGATCTTGGGCCGAGAGTCCGGCATCTGTGACACGCACTGTTTTCATCGTTGTCATGGTGACAGCATCAGGTTTTGGAAAAGTAGCTCTGGAACAACAACAGAAATATTATTTTTCTTAAATATGAAATTATGTGAAGGCAAGTAATTGTAAAATGATGATAATTGATGACAGTTGTTCCTAAATTTAAATTCAGAAGGCCCTTACTGTTTTATAAATTAGTGTAAGATCTCTTTTTTTTTTTTTTTTCTAAGGACTTAAAAACAATAATACGGTGAGCAGGCCATTCTGTTTAAGTGCAACACGTGTGAAGACTGACTATAACACTGATATGTTTTCATGAAAAATGGGCGAATGGGCGAATTTTAATGGCCTTAGTCTTTGTGTGTCACCAATCACATGGTTAATTTTCTGCTGAGCCGAGCGTACACCTGGAGCACCTGAATGTGGCCTTGTACGTTTTAACGTCAGGCGGGTAGACTGCATGGTCAGTCGTATGCCTCACGACACACTTCCTGCACGGCATTGGGGTAAACATGGTCTGTTTTCGTCTTGGAGTGGAAATCTTTGGAACTCTTCAGCCACCGTTATGCTGTTATTACCCAAACTACTGGTCTAAAAATAGTTTTTTGAAAGTCCCACCGAGGATCATATTAGGATTTATAAATAGTTATTTAGGTAACACCGCACAAGGGGTGTTTGGAAGGGTGTTTGGAAGGGTGTTGAGAAGGGTGTTTGGAAGGTGTTTGGAAGGGTGATTGGAAGGAGGTTTGGAAGGGTGTTTGGAAGGGTATTTGGAAGGGTGTATGGAAGGTGTTTGGAAGGGTGATTGGAAGGGTGTTTGGAAGGGTGATTGGAAGGGTGATTGGAAGGGTGATTGGAAGGGTGTTTGGAAGGGTGTTTGGCAATGTGTTGTTGTTGTTTTTTTGTTTTTTGGGTTGGGGGGGGGGTAGTTTTAAGCAAGTGAATCTTTTGAAAGATCAGTCCTAAGTAATGTGTTTATTTTATAATAAAATGAGTCAATTTGGTAATAAATTTATAAGGTTACATTTACTACTGGGAAAATAGGATTAATTTACATATATGAGTTTACTGTAAAATAGGTACATTTTGAGAAATTATTTCACCGACGCTTAAAAATATAGGGAAAAATGAATTGTTTTGTTTTAAAATCTAAACTGTTCTTTATATATTTAAGACAATATTTTAAAATAACATTTTGTGTAGAAGGAAATTCGGTAAAATGCCACTAGAAAGCCTTTAAACTGATTGCAAAATGAAGGGAAAATCGCATTTAGATGGTGCTAGTCAAAATAAACCGCAATAGTGCTTATGGCAAGGCTTGAACTCCTGTGATACTGATACATTCATTTCAAGGCTTGAACTCCTGTGATACTGATACATTCATTTCAAGGCTTGAACTCCTGTGATACTGATACATTCATTTCAAGGCTTGAACTCCTGTGATACTGATACATTCATTTCAAGGCTTGAACTCCTGTGATACTGATACATTCATTTCAAGGCTTGAACTCCTGTGATACTGATACATTCATTTCAAGGCTTGAACTCCTGTGATACTGATACATTCATTTCAAGGCTTGAACTCCTGTGATACTGATACATTCATTTCAAGGCTTGAACTCCTGTGATACTGATACATTCATTTCAAGGCTTGAACTCCTGTGATACTGATACATTCATTTCAAGGCTTGAACTCCTGTGATACTGATACATTCATTGAAAATTGAAACATTTTAAGCACATTCAGGACCAAAGTATCGTTTCTTGGCCAATGTATCTGTTCTTGGCAGATGTATCTTTTCTTGGCAGATGTATCTTTTCTTGGCAAATGTATCTTTTCTTGGCAGATGTATCTTTTCTTGGCAAATGTATCTTTTCTTGGCAGATGTATCTTTTCTTGGCAGATGTATCTTTTCTTGGCAAATGTATCTTTTCTTGGCAGATGTATCTTTTCTTGGCAGATGTATCTTTTCTTGGCAGATGTATCTTTTCTTGGAAAAATGTATCTTTTCTTGGCAGATGTATCTTTTCTTGGCAGATGTATCTTTTCTTGGCAGATGTATCTTTTCTTGGCAGATGTATCTTTTCTTGGCAAATGTATCTTTTGTTGGCCAATGTATCTTTTCTTGGCCAATGTATCTTTTCTTAGCAGATGTATATTTTCTTGGCCAAGGTATCTTTTCTTGGCCAATGTATCTTTTCTTGGCAGATGTATCTTTTCTTGGCCAATGTATCGTTTTTTGGCCAATGCATCTTTTCTTGGCAGATGTATCTTTTCTTGGCAGATGTATCTTTTCTTGGCAAATGTATCTTTTGTTGGCCAATGTATCTTTTCTTGGCCAATGTATCTTTTCTTAGCAGATGTATCTTTTCTTGGCCAAGGTATCTTTTCTTGGCAGATGTATCTTTTCTTGGCAGATGTATCTTTTCTTAGCAAATGTATCTTTTCTTAGCAAATGTATCTGTTCTTGGCAGATGTATCTTTTCTTGGCAGATGTATCTTTTCTTGGCAAATGTATCTTTTCTTGGCAGATGTATCTTTTCTTGGCAGATGTATCTTTTCTTGGCAGATGTATCTTTTCTTGGCAGATGTATCTTTTCTTGGCAGATGTATCTTTTCTTGGCCAATGTATCGTTTCTTGGCCAATGCATCTTTTCTTGGCCGATGTATCTTTTCTTGGCAGATGTATCTTTTCTTGGCCAATGTATCTTTTCTTGGCAGATGTATCTTTTCTTGGCCAATGTATCTTTTCTTGGCAGATGTATCTTTTCTTGGCCAATGTATCGTTTCTTGGCCAATGCATCTTTTCTTGGCAGATGTATCTTTTCTTGGCAGGTGTATCTTTTCTTGGCAAATGTATCTTTTGTTGGCCAATGTATCTTTTCTTGGCCAATGTATCTTTTCTTAGCAGATGTATCTTTCTTGGCCAATGTATCGTTTCTTGGCCAATGCATCTTTTCTTGGCAAATGTATCTTTTCTTGGCAGATGAATCTTTTCTTGGCCAATGCATCTTTTCTTGGCCAATATATCTTTTCTTGGCAGATGTATCTTTTCTTGACCAATGCATCTGCTTATGGCAAATATATATGCTCTTGGCCAATGTATCTGTTCTTGCCAATGCACCTTTTCTTGGCCAGTGCATCTTTTCTTGGCCAATATATCGTTCCTTGGCCAATTCATCTTTTCTTTGCCAATGTATCTATTCTTGAACAATGTATCTTCTCGTCGCCAATGTTTCATTTGCATCACTCAAGGGAATCAAATGAAGTGCATAATTTATCAATCGCAAACCGGTATACATTTTTTTTTCTCGCGTACGTAACAAAATGCAATACCTCCGGACAACACAGTTCGATCACAGATCGATCACACTCTGCCCTTTCAAATACTTACGGTGGTTCGTAATTCAATTCAAAGCACTGTTTTCTTTCAGGCCATTGCAACTATTTAATAGTTTTTTCAACCAGATCCATCCAAAAAACAAAACGCTCAGAAACTATCACCAAAGATACGTGCACGCTTTGTTGGAGTCTGTTAGATCAAATAGATATAAATAATGAAAGTGTTTTTTGCATTCCATGCGTCACGCAATTGCCCCAACCCCATGAAGTACATTTCTTGATAAATAACAGACCAGAAGTAATTGTCACATGACACGTTTTCAAAACATCCTCTAGGCGACATACTTTCTTAAGTTGGGGGTAAACATACAGGGGTATCGCGAGGACTGTATGTGCAGGGATGTAAATAAAGACTCATTTTAAAAAAAATATTTACTGTTTTGGCACAATTGACGTGAGATTAAATTTCTAGGTCACTAAAATTGCCAAAAAACACTAAACTTGCCGAAAACCTCAACGTCTGCCATATAGCGCTCGGTTTGACTATGTTGAGTTATGTTTATAAATGGGTTATTTGATCACGAGAAACACAAACAATGGATCACGACAAAATGTGACATGCTCATTCCTCCTAATCTATTAGATAGTTGCTGGAAAGTTTGGTCATAATCCCTTTAATCCAAAATCTTTGATTTTAAAAATCTTAATAATATGTAGAGGGTAGGGTTAAACAAAAAATTAATATCTTCGAGGAACGTTAAAAGTAAATTATCTCTGGTGTACGTTATTAATAAGTCTTTATTTAGAACGGTGCGCATTCAAATATCTTTTATAGAAAGGTTTTCGGTGCGCATTTCTTTGTTGCACTTATTTGAATTTTAAAATAAAGCTTTATTTTATGTTGGTGCTTTCAAAAAATAATATTTGAAATACTTTTGCCCAACAAAAGATTAGCCGCTTAATGCAATTCTATTTTCTAGATATACGTAAATACGTGTTGAACTATTTTAAGAAACTACAGTTCATTTAGTGGTATGAGACGGGTCAAACATTATATAAGATCTATCACATAGTTCAGGGGCGTCTATAAAGGTTTACAGACCGGAGGGGTTGTTTTTTTCTTACATTCTATTACTAACTTTATAAAGTAGATGTGTGTCGGGGGGGGGGGGGTGGAGAAATCGCAAGTATGTGAATCAGCCTCAAATCTTTGCATTGAGTAAAACTACGCCACTGAATATGTGGGTGTATATTTATGAAAGTAGCAATGTCTCAACGGCACAATAGCTAACGGACGGAACAATTTCAGCCCATTTCCCTTTCTTTATTAAGTTATTTACATTTGGACATTCATGTTAAGCTTCGTTAATGCCTCTCACAATAAATTTCTGTCTAGATTTCATTTTTACTGACATCAGATAATGACCTGGTAGCGTTACTGAAATATTATAATGAGACGGTAGTGTTATTGACATATAATGACATGGTAGTGTTACGAACATAATGACACGGTGGGGGATACAGTTCAAAATTGAGAAATGAAAAAAAAACCATCATACCACTATGTGTCACTATGTAATTGTTCTTAGATTTAATAAAGGTCTTTTTGAAAGAATACGAGTCTAAGTGTCCAATCCATGTATCTTTCTGGTATAACGTGTCGCTACAATATTTTAATCTAGATCCTTAACGAATTGTTTTTAGACGGCCTCTAAATTTCCGTGTACTCTGATAACTGTTTAGAAGTTTTTCCCGATACAAATCCTGGCAAGGCCGGGTATGTCAGCTAGTTAGATATAAATGGCACTCAGCGTAAAAATCTGTTATGAATAAAAAAAAAATTAAATTCTTCACTGAATCCAGTAATAACAGTTGATATAGACCCCAGTCATTTCGAGATTTTAAGCTGGTGGCTCCTTCAGATTTCTATGTCACTGGGAGCAAGTTTAGTTTAGGTTAAAGTATTTGAAAAATAACTATGTCAGACACAGATAATACAGCAGATAGGGACTAAACAAGTAATATAACTAGGGCAGCGCCAAGGAGAAGCTAAGCTCTAAGATGGCGTTGCCACTAAATGTCATCAGTAAATGATGTATCATCTAGGCAAGGTGTATCAGTAAATGATGTATCATCTATGCAGTATGTATCAGTAAATGATGTATCATCTATGCAGTATGTAATCAGTAAATGATGTATCATCTATGAAGTTATGATGTATCATCTATGCAGTATGTATCAGTAAATGATGTATCATCTATGCAGTTATGATGTATCATCTTTGCAGTATGTATCAGTAAATGATGTATCATCTAGGCAAGGTGCATCAGTAAATGATGTATCATCTAGGCAGTGTGTATCAGTAAATGATGTATCATCTAGTCAGTGTGTATCAGTATATGATGTGTCATCTAGTCAGTGTGTATCAGTAAATGATGTATCGTCTAGTCAGTGTGTATCAGTATATGATGTGTCATCTAGTCAGTGTGTATTAGTAAATGATGTATCATCTAGGCAGTGTGTATCAGTAAATGATGTATCATCTTTTCAGTATGTATCAGTAAATGATGTATCGTCTAGGCAGTGTGTATCAGTATATGATGTGTCATCTAGTCAGTGTGTATCAGTAAATGATGTATCGTCTAGTCAGTGTGTATCAGTATATGATGTGTCATCTAGTCAGTGTGTATTAGTAAATGATGTATCATCTAGGCAGTGTGTATCAGTAAATGATGTATCATCTTTTCAGTATGTATCAGTAAATGATGTATCGTCTAGGCAGTGTGTATCAGTAAATGATGTATCATCTATGCAGTTATGATGTATCATCTATGCAGCTATGATGTATCATCTATGCAGTATGTATATGTAAATGATGTATCATCTATGCAGTTATGATGTATCATCTATGCAGTATGTATAAGTAAATGATGTTTCATGTATGCAGTTATGATGTATCATCTTTGCAGTATGTATCAGTAAATGATGTATCATCTAGGCAAGGTGCATCAGTAAATGATGTATCATCTAGGCAGTGTGTATCAGTAAATGATGTATCATCTTTTCAGTATGTATCAGTAAATGATATATCGTCTAGTCAGTGTGTATCAGTAAATGATGTATCATCTAGTCATTGTGTATCAGTAAATGATGTATCATCTTTTCAGTATGTTTCAGTAAATGATGTATCGTCTAGGCAGTGTGTATCAGTAAATGATGTATCATCTATGCAGTTATGATGTATCATCTATGCAGTATGTATATGTAAATGATGTTTCATGTATGCAGTTATGATGTATTATCTTTGCAGTATGTATCAGTAAATGATGTATCATCTAGGCAAGGTGCATCAGTAAATGATGTATCATCTAGGCAAGGTGTATCAGTAAATGATGTATCATCTAGGCAAGGTGTATCAGTAAATGATGTATCATCTAGGCAAGGTGTATCAGTAAATGATGTATCATCTAGGCATGGTGTATCAGTAAATGATGTATCATCTAGGCAAGGTGCATCAGTAAATGATGTATCATCTAGGCAAGGTGCATCAGTAAATGATGTATCATCTAGGCAAGGTGGATCAGTAAATGATGTATTATCTAGGCAAGGTGTATCAGTAAATGATGTATCATCTAGGCAAGGTGCATCAGTAAATGATTATCATCTAGGCAAGGTGTATCAGTAAATGATGTATCATCTAGGCAAGGTGCATCAGTAAATGATTATCATCTAGGCAAGGTGTATCAGTAAATGATGTATCATCTATGCAGTATGTATCAGTAAATGATGTATCATCTATGCAGTTATGATGTATCATCTTTTCAGTATGTATCAGTAAATGATGTATCATCTATGCAGTTATGACGTATCATCTTTGCAGTATATATCAGTCAATGATGTATCATCTATGCAGTTATGGTGTATTATCTTTGCAGTATGTATCATTAAATGATGTATCATCTAGGCAGTGTGTATCAGTAAATGATATGTCATGTTTGCAGAAAGTATCAATAAATGATATACCATTTAGATAGTATGTATTCAATATATGATATATCCTTTAGGCAGTATTTTTATGTGTCGGATAAATCCAAATGCAAAGATGCAATTTGGGTGAATACCTGAATTTAGATTTCCGTCATTCTAAACTTAATCGGAGAGCAACAGATGAGATGCTATTGGAATTTTAGAAGTCCCTTGACCTGGAATTTTAACATTTTATGCGAACTATTTATTTTGTAAAACTACTCAATAAAAAAAAAATCAATTTTTAAAGAATGAGTTTTTAAAAAAAGAAAGAAATCCTGTCATCTTGACGTCACCAAAAGACACGAATCTGTCAAATGCTGCCCTTTGACGACTACCACACATGTTTTTGTCCAAAAGTGATGGTCAACTATGCTTGGCCTTTTTCCTCCTCCGAGCGACCCAATACCAAAAAGAACTGCCCAAACATATCTTCATTTTCACTACTAGGAACAGGTGACGTCTGGAGCTTGGCGCCGTTGACAAACGCAGTTAAGCGTTCAAGTTGCGGGAGATTCAGTACTGTTAGCTTTCAGCAGACTATGATTGCAGGCCATCATTTTGTGCACTTGGATGGATGCCGATGATGGCCGAACCAAATGATCTTAACACTTAACCCCAAATTAAAGTCATATTTTTAAGTAGCCAAATCTGATTTTAGTTTGAGCTCTATTTTTGAATCGAACCTCCTTAAGTGTGAGTGTGTGTGTGTGGTGTGAGTTTGTATGGGGTGTGTGTGTGTGTGGTGTGTATGTGTGGTGTGTGTGGGTGTGTGTGGTGTGTATGTGGTACGTTAGAAGGTGTTATTATACTTTGTACATTAATCATCTATTCTACATCAGTGAGTTCAGATGATTTATCACCAAACAAAACATTGCCCCCCCCCACCCATTGCTTTTCATATTTCATATTAACTTCCTAAAAAAAAAATTAAATAGATTGTACGTTTCTAAGCGGAGCTATTTTAAGTTGTTGGGGCATAGGAGAGAGTTCCCATGAAAAGTAGGTCATGCAGGACTGATGTGAATGAGACCCAAACAGGGGTATTCCTTGTTTTACGTATTTTACTTTAGTGTCATGGCCCTAAGCAGGCTTCAGAATGCAATAGATTGCCTCAAAATGCTTTTGGGTACATGATCTCCTAAAATTTCGCACTAGAAACAAAAAATCAAAATGGGACCTAAAAAAAAACCCCCTAATTTTTAAAGGTGTGTGGGGGCGAGAGGGGGGGGGTGAGAGCGGGTGTTTGAAAATATTATTTTGTTTCGTTTAAAAATCGTATTTTCCTAATGAGGGTGCAAAAAGTGTTAGAATATTTCTTACAATCGTATGGTCAGGCAGGCCTGTTTCACGTTTGCAGTCAGAATCACAGAATAAAAAATATTTGGCTGATTGATGTGACAACAAATGTGATTTTAATTATAAACAAAGATAATATACTATCAAAAATAATCTAAATAAAAAATCATCTATCAAGTGCGACACTATTATTGAAAATCATGATAAGAAGAAATAAATAATTTCTTACCACCGTTGAAGAAAAGGTCACAAAAAGACCATGCGACCAGCAGATAATATCTGTTCGGTTAATGTATTTTGTAATCTCTTACGACCAATATAGCGTATTAGCTGGCAACCGCTACCGGCCAGGTCATAAACAAGCTAATAAGCAGATATGGTCCCACGAGTCTGGTCGGGTACTCCAGCCAAATGATATGGGTCAACTACCCGGCGTATTGTAAGTGCTGCTGGCTATATCACAGGCAGCAAGACCTATGGCTGTACTTCCGGGTCCATTGTGCTCTTCCAGATTAGCTTAAAATAGATTTCAAAGCAATTCCCCTGGGCTGGGGGGGGGGGTCGAGCCGAGAACTTCCACATGAGCTGCGCATTTGGACGAAGTCACTTGTTGATGTCTCCACATCAAAGCTTAATAATCCCTCTCTAGGACTTTAGATAGTGAAGGATATGACAATTGTTTTTGTTTTTTTGTTGTTTTTTTACCACGAAGACCAAATGTCACAATATTTGTTTAAGTTTTAAAAATAAACTCATTTTGTGACTAAACTATTGACATGACCCATTGTGTGTAACGGAAACATGTACCCTCTCAGACGTTTTGGTATAAACATTTTTAGGTACAATTCAGTGTCGTCAAGGAAATTTTGTCGGTTGAATTTTTAGTCTAAAATTTTAGATTTTAATAGAAACTTGGACTCTTCAATCTCATCATCGAATTTTGCATTTAAAGAAAAGTAAATCGTCATTATCCTTAGTTTGCGTGTGTGTGTATGTGTGGGTGCTGTTTAATTTCAACTCAGCTATACTAAAAAAAAAATTAAGTGTATTGACGTCCAGATCTAACATCTTTTATTTTGCCCAGAACCCATTCTGGAACGTCTAGGCCAACGCATCTGTTGTAAGTCGTTCAATACTAGGAATATAATAAATATACCTTTGATGTTCTTCTATAGGGGTGAGAGATAGTCATTAAAGTATGCCTTGAAAATATACCATGTATTCAGTGGTCTTGGTTCTATGCACTTTCAAAATTGAGCCACACGTTGGGCCAGTGGTACACACATTAGGCCAGTGCTAGAAAGGTGTCTGCGGTACAGCGAGATGACCTCAAGAACGAACTTGGGCGCATGGAGAGGAAGGCGTCACTGAGAAAGTGGATCATCCCACCACATGGGTCGACTCGCTGGTTACTGTTTGGGGGGGGGGGGGGAGGGGGGGCGGGTTCCTTTTTATATTTTTAACCC